TATATATATATATATATATATATATATATATATATATATATATATATATATATATATATATATATGTATGTATATATATATATATATATATATATATATATATATATATATATATATATATATATATATATATATATATATATATATTATTATGTATGTATGATATATATATATATATATATATATATATATATATATATATATATATATATATATATATATATATATATATATATATATATATATGTATGTATATATATATATATGTATATATGTATGTATATATATATATATATATATATATATACATATATATATATATATACATACATATATATATGTATATATATATATACCTACATATATATATATATATATATATATATATATATATATATATATATATATATATATATATATATATATATATATATATATATATATATATATATGTAGGTATATATGTATATACATATATATATGTATGTATATACATATATATATGTATGTATATATATATATATATATATATATATATATATATATATATATATATATATATATATATATATATATATATATATATATATATTAAATCTGCACCGGATTTGATTTTTCAAAAAACCGGACGGAACCGGCTTTACCGGATTTCTACTAAAAAAATCCGGCCGGATTTCGAAACAAAGTTACATGAGCCGAAATCCTGTTCATTCCTACTTGATATTGGCAGTGGTCATCATTTTTAACCATTTTCAATACCAAGTAACAACTGATTTATGTTAAACCTAATTGTTGTTATTAAAATAGAAGGACACAGATTCACATAACATATCATAACATAACAAAATAATTGATAAAAAACTAAAACTTTCAATTTAAAAGTGAAGTAAAGTAACTTCAGTTTCAGCTCCTTTTTTTTTTAATGTCTTTGGTCAGTTTTGAAATGTACTCTAGAAATATTGGCATAAATATATATGTTATTATTATGTGGCAGGAGTGAACTACGATGATCATTGAAGACCACCCCAGTAACATTGAACAAACGTTCTGATGGTGAACTTGTTGGTGGGGCACCCAAATAAGTGCGAGCTACTGTCGCCACAGCTTGGAATTGTTGCATGTTGTCACTTCACCATTGTAGTGGATCAGTGTGTCTACTTATTTCTGGTTCTGCCAGATACTGGCTTATGTCTTTTGGTAATTATTGTTCATGTGCTGTGCCACCAGCGGACGTAGAGTAAACAATTTCATCGATACATTGTCAGAGTAATGATGATTATGCATAAGAATTATCCAGCTGGGCTTGTTTTACTGGAATTTCTTCAATTTTGTCAATATGCTGCTCAGTATACTCAGATTGACTTCCATCTTGCATCGATAACCTCTGCACTGTAACTTTATTAAATGCGTATGAATATACAAGTACTTATATGAATATACAACTGTTTCAAAGTATTTATGCATTTAAATTGATAAAAATTCTAAATGGATTAAATTGCATTGATAATACTAAAAACAATACTGCAAGTATCGGAAAAATTGTAATTAGCAAAAAATCTTCTAATGAAACATTTTACGGGATAGTGTCATTAAAAGTGTACTAGAAACTCTTCGTTGTTTACGGGATAGTGTCATTAAAAGTGTACTAGAAACTCTTCATTGTTTACGGGATAGTGTCATTAAAAGTGTACTAGAAACTCTTCATTGTTTACGGGATAGTGTCATTAAAAGTGTACTAGAAACTCTTCATTGTTTACGGGATAGTGTCATTAAAAGTGTACTAGAAACTCTTCATTGTTTACGGGATAGTGTCATTAAAAGTGTACTAGAAACTCTTCATTGTTTACGGGATAGTGTCATTAAAAGTGTACTAGAAACTCTTCATTGTTTACGGGATAGTGTCATTAAAAGTGTACTAGAAACTCTTCATTGTTTACAAAACTGTATGTTATATAAACTTAAAAGATTGTTAAATAAGATACCAAATAAAAATTTTATTTTGGTATTTTTATATTTAAATATTCGAAGTGACTATTCGCACGTTTTTCATTTGCGAATAGACTATATTTAATAAAGTCTAAATGCATGTTTAGTTAAAAAAAGGAAAAAGTTATCGAATTTAAAGAGAATCTAAAAAAATTAGATTTATTATTATTGGTTTTTAAATTTAAAATTAAATTTCGTTGTGGAGTACAAACGTTTTTTATACATATAATGCTTAAACGCAGTGGCGGATTAAGACCTCTTGGGGCCCGGGGCTATTTTTGTTTTTGGAGGCCTTTTTATGGGCCAGAGCTTAAAAATGACTTAAAAAAAAAAAAGGTCCTCAAACATTTTTGGGGTCCCTAAATTTGCGGGGCCCGGGGCTATAGTCCCCTAGCCCCCCCTCCCCCTTGATCCGGCACTGCTTAAACGTAAAAAAAAAGTTTTTTTTAAAAAAAAGTAAAAAAACGTAAAAAAAAAACAACTGCAAAAAAGTAATGTAAACGTAATAAAAACGTAATAAAAAAAAAAAGTAATAAATTAAGTATTTTGATCAAAAGTTTGCCAAAAATTCTTCTCTTACAGTTTTGACTAAAAACGCAGACCATAAGTAGCATTTTTTTTACCAACTATTTACTCTAGCCATAAATACTATGTTTAAATATTTTAATTGTGTACATTATTTATTAAGTATAGAAGTTTTTGTTAAGTAAGTTTTTGCAACAAAAAAATAAATATATTAATAATAAAAAAAATTAAACTAAAAATAATTGGATAATATTAAGCTAATTAATTTAAACAACGGAACAATAACTGTTCAGTAGTTTAAAAATTAACAAGCACACATTGGCCCGACGTCGGGCCGACGTGTTATATTTGGCTAGAAAATTTACTACGGCATAACTATGTTTTAAATGTGCATTGTGGTTCATCTGCGCTTTATTTACTCAATTACTGAATAAGCTGAGCTTATAAAGCTATATAAGCTGAGCGCAGAAAACCACAAAGCACATTTAATACATTGCATTTCCAACTTTATGCCGACGTAATTTTCTTAGCTGTTGATTAATAGAAATTACACGAATTTAATTGCTGTTGATTAATAGAAATATGAACACGTTGACCCGACGTCGGGTCAACGTGTTCATGTTATCTGGGTAGTCATTATCTTCAATCTTAACAATTATCTTTCAATCTTAATAATCTACTAGTAATTATCTTCAAGTACTTTTAGGTACTTGCAAGTACTTAAAAACTTAAATATTCTACTAGAGAAAAAGAAGATTTTATTTGAAGGTGATTATGAGGGCCTTAATAAATTCTTTCTAGAAATTGATCGGCATAATGAATTACGTAACTTTAATGTTAAGTAATTCCTTTCCTCGATTTAATCGATTAACGTTTCTTTGATTAACCTTTCTCGATTAATGTTATGCTAAAAAAACAAAGTCAAAGTCAGGGTTAAATAAAGTATATAAACAGTAAGACATCAAACAAAATCTCTGCAGTCTTCATTTTTGTTTAAGTGTATTTCATCTGTGTTGCTAATGATATCGCCAGTTTTTATGATGAATGTTGTTAGGTAAAGTATTATTATGTTTTAGGCTAAAATAGCTTTGGCTAATACTTTTATCTAGATTAGATGAATAACAACTCTCAAGGTGTATTAGCTGAATTATCTTTTTGTTTTGATAGTCTTTAGTCAATAACGGATTTTTAAATTGTTATGAGTCTACAACACTTAATTTCATGGAAATTCAATTAAAAAGTCATGTCATAGAAGACAGAAAAATATCAATATCTGTTTTTAATAACTTGGCTTTCATAGCAAATCTGAGAGTTGCAAATGTTTAGCTTGGTTTAAGTACTAAATAATAAAATACATCGTTGTTTAGTAAGGACCGCCCTGGAAGCAGGTGGGGGTTAAAAGGATTAACCCTTTTTGAACTAATAGTCGGTAAGTCTAATGTTATTTCACTCAGCTAATCAAGTTTCATTTGCTTTTTTGTATTACATTCAAGCAATAGACTGTTTTTTATGTTCACTCGTTTTTTAGAAGTCGTAACCAGCTAGAAATCGTAACCAGCTCGTATGAAAGGATTTCTCGACGTGAAATAGTTAATTTTATTCAACAACTCCAGGAATCTGTTTCTTGGAGTTGTTGAATCTCGCTGCTCGCTCAAGAAACAGGAAAAAAGAGAAAGATGAAAAAATATTTTGTTGAATAATACTGTTGTTTTATTTATAAATTATTCTCCTATATTTTATTTTAGAAGAGTGCTTTAGAAGTTAGCTTAGAAGAGTGGTCAATGAATTGGCTGATCTGTAAATCAGCCAATTTATTGACCACTCTTCTAAAGCCATCTGACTACTTTGACCACATTTTGAAGATTGGGAAAATAATTGTGCATTCAGTTCATTCTGAGCATCTGAAGTTAATGTTGCCGAATGTGATGGCGGCTCACGATTAACAAAATTTAATAAAGGATTTCTTTGTCTTACAACAAACGCTTCATTTTGATTCCTTAAAACTACATTTTCAGCAAAAGATAGCAAATTGATTTAATTTCTTATTTTATCTCTTCGTTATATTTTTAGTAAAACTTCGAATTGTTTTCTCCCTTTTCTTACATGACCTTTTAATTTGTTTCATAACAAATTCGTACAAAAGTTTGTAGATATTTATCAACGAACGCCTGAAGAATTTATATGACTATAAAACCCCTTTAGGAATTCCTATGAAAAACTACTTTCTTTTTGTAAATAAACTTCAAAAAAACTTTAAAATCTCCCAAAACTCTTGTGCAACTGAGAGAGGTCCTCACCGATCTGAAACCCTCGGCAGTTGCCTTGTTTGCCTATGCCTAGGGCCCGTTTTGGCAATCAGACTATATAAATAATACCTAAAAAACTAATTTAAGATTTCATGATTAATTTTAAAAAATTTATAACTTATAAAAATGAAATAAAATATAAAAAGTTTAGCAAATTTTTTGAAAAGAAAAAAACAATAAAAATAAACTTCATTATGCAAATTTATTTCAAAACAAATGTTGACATACAAAAAACGTGGAATATCATTGAGTTCTTTTGGCCAAACGTCGAAACATCTGTTTAGTACATAATACCTCAGTAGCTTGGAAAAGACCCTTTTTCAAAATGAAACACGTTAAGGTTAGCTTGCAAAAATTGTTGTCTTTGACACACTCAGAAGTTTTTATATTAATTAAAAATCGATGTTTCAAGTAACTGAATATTGACTTTATACATCATGTAGCTGAAATGATACCCATCCTAAAGAAATGGCTTATACTACAGTAGCCATTACAGTTATACAGTTATACAATTATACAGTAACCATTACATTTAGTCCTAATAAACTGATTTTATGTCTAAATACAAGTATAATTATTATCAAATTATATTTCTAATTCATCATTTTTGACTACTTTTTTATTATTGTATATTGTAACTTACAAAATAACCTGTGACTCAATGGGAGGAAAATTGGAGGCTTTGAATTTTGGTGTACAAAATCCACAGGGATAATAACAGTATTGATCACAAGTGCCAATTAAATACCCCACTCCACACCTGTTGATAGTGCATACTATTGATAACAAATCAATCTTTGAGCTGACGTAGGTTGGAAGTATAAACGATGTGACGGTTTATATTATAATATAAACCGTAATTTAAGTTAGATATAAGTCTGTATATAGACTTATATCCATCTTAAGTTACAAAAACTCCTAACCAAGTAAATAATTATCAAAAAGAAATTAACCTCTGATTTTCTAGCAGTCATTTTAGATGAAAACCGTCATGGTTAACTTTGACACAAAGGGGTTACCATAAAACAAACGATGTCGGCAATTTTTGCCGACTTCGAACACTTTTAGGTTGGCAGTTAGGTTGGCATTGCCAAATGCCGATCCTAATTCTGAGGGCTGCAGTTAATATTATATAAACCATATACAATAATATTTGGGCTATTAATAATAAAAGGTAAGATACCTGTTATGCGATGATGAATTGTTTCAAATATTTTCTTCCTAAGTATTGAAAATACATAATAATTAACTATAAATTAACGAAGTATGAATAAAATAAAATAAGAAATTTTAAAAACCTACTTTGATATAAGTATGTGACAATTTTTTGTGTTTGATAACAAAAAAACCATTCGATAACAAAAAAGTTTTGTTTACAAAATTTATTTATAACAAGCTTCTTTTTTCGAAAAAAAAAATTGATTTGACATCTTTTACATACAAATCAATTTTAAGTTGTATTGTTTTGTTGTTGTTTTTTGTTATGGAGGTAAATGCTATGGAGGTAAATGGGTTCTTGCTTAAGTAGTAACCTAGGCAGCAATAACGCTATAACGTCGGTAACAGTACCAAAGTTGTAAAATCATTGTACTCTTCTGTTTTTTCTAAAATCCCATCTTTCAAAAAAGAGAATTCCTTAATTCAATCATTTGAAACCTCTCCTTATAGCTTCCTCCACAAATCTTATCCAATTAATAATATACATAGAAACATAGAGTTTTAAAAAAACTGAAACAAAACTGTGTTGAATTAAATTAGTTTTTGTTAAATGCTTTTGTGTAGTATTTACACAAAAGCATTTAACAAAATCTATTTTAATTCCCTAACTCAGCCTTTCAAAACGCTACTAGTAACATGTTAAGATAAAAATAATTTACCTTGTATAAACCTGGCTCAACAGGGAATGTTATCGTGTAATATGTAATTGGAACTGGTTCTTCTATAAATGGATGCAGTATTTCTATTTTTGGTATTAAATTCAGTTCTTCGTTAAAATCAACATAACTAATTTCAAGTAGCCAGGGATCACATGGGTATGGAAGAGGTTCGTAACCTTTTTTTGATTCCATAACATCTATTAGTCTGGATTCACCATGTTTGAGAAGAAAAAATTGCATTTTTGACAACTCGGATTTTTTTAACTCCTCGTTTAGTCTGAGAGGGGGTTCTAAATAATGCTAAAACAAAAAAGTAAACCTTCCACAATCAATTGTTAATTAATTTATTAGTTCTTTTATGTTGAAATCATATCCAATAAAAAATGATTTTAATAAATTTAAAGAAATGTAGCATATACGTTTAAAGTGCAAAAAGAAGTTGAGCGCTCCTTTTTAATTCTCCTCCTCCTGTTTTAATGGCTGATTAAGATAGAATACATTATGCTGTATGTTTTTATGGCTGATTATGATAGAATACATTATGCTAGTTCAGAATCATATAAAAAAATAGGTTTTAAAATTATAAAAGCGTTCTTATACATTTTTATTCATTCATCATCATTAAACATTGTTTTTATTCATTCATCATCATTAAACATTGTTTTTATTCATTCATCATCATTAAACATTGTTTTTATTCATTTTTTAATTGAATAACGGTTTTTATTGTCGTATTTTAAAATTAAAGTTTATTTAAGGTAGTACCCCAAAAAATTAAGGTCAATTTAAAAAAAAAAAAAAAAAAGGTATTAAAAAAGCATACTAAAAAAAAGTTAAGAAAACTGAAAAAATAACATATGAACCTGAAAGATTTTAATTTATTTTATTTATTTATTTATTCAAGAAATTATAAATTTTTTTATGCTTTTTGTGTAATTTTAATTTTTTTATCGCAAAATGTCAAAATTCACTAGTTTTCAAACTTTTTTACTAGTTTTCAAATTTTATATCGCAAAATGTCAAAGTTCACTAGTTTTCAAAAATGAGAACTTCTTAAATAATTATGCATAAGTGCTGAAGTTTTTACAGATTATTTGTCATATTATTAAAATTCATTTGAGAAAAAAAAAATTTTCAATGCATTTTACATCTTGTAATTTTGTTATATTAGTGTTGTTTAGCTCGCTTACTTTTTAGTGTTTCATGGGTAATTTCTAAAATTTTCATTTGTTTTCATTTATTTCTCTCAAATGAATTATATTACCATGATTAAAAATTGTTCCAAATTTCATGCTAAAATGACTAGTAGATTTTGAGTAATTACTTCACAAAAAATCAATTATTTTCAATTTTTAGGGGGTAATCGAGGCAAAGATTTTCAAGTTTGATAGCATTTTTGAAAATTATTTCAAATTATGTATTTATGTTGTAAAATTGATAATGTGCTCTAGTTCCAATAAGATTTTGATATATTTCTTGGAATACCACCTTAAAGTTGTTGAATGTTTTTTATGAATACTGGTGGAAGTCCCACCAGTATTCATAAAAAAATTTCTATAAACATATGTGTTATATCTGTTTTTTGTTTCTGGGCCCCGAAAACAAAAAAACAGAGATAACACATATGCTTATAGAAAATAAAGTGTTAAAATGCTCTAATGAAAGTATACAAATTAATTGTTGTTGAATTAAAAAATATATATATATATATATATATATATATATATATATATATAGACATAAACGTAACATGCATTAATTAATTTGAATTTTGCCATCTAGACATCCCAGCTTTAATAATTACATGCATAAATGATATCAACACAATTTTTCAGTGACAAGTTCTACAGAATAGTGCATTATATATATATATATATATATATATATATATATATATATATATATATATATATATATATAATATATATATATATATATATATATATTTATAGTTAATGTTCCCCATACCGATCTAAGATATAGGAGTAAGATTATTTTGGAGTAAACTGATTTTTAAAAGGTCTCAAAAAATTAATAAAAAAATCTTTCCTAGTCTATTCTCTTATATAAAAGGAATGGTTATGAATAAGTATAAATATGCCATCATTTAGAAATATTTTTTTTTTTTTTTTGAAGTTAAAAATAAAATGTGTAAAAATTTACTAAATTACAAATAAAAAATTGTTTATAATTAAATCAAAAACACCATAGGAAATTTTTCACAAATAAACACATCATACTTGACGCATTTTTTTTTCATATCATGCGTTACAGTTGTAACAATCAGAGATGAGATCTATTTCTTTTTTCTAGATATTAAGACTGGGTACAATTTTCATGTACCCAACCTTTATAGGTAGAGATGTAAGCAGTGTAAAGTTACTTTTTATTTTTTGAATCGACTTTATGTGGTGATAACAGGAATCGGTACAATTAACGTAAATTTATATGCATTAATTAGCGCCTAACATCTAATTAAAACGCTGAAAAATTTTTTGCGTTGTTGAAATAAGATCATTACGCATGAATAATTTTGGAGCGAAATTTTGGTGCTAAAATAATGAAAATTATTTTTTCATAAAGAAAAATATGTTAGCTAAAAATCCAGTCTATTTTTGTTTGAAAAACAATTCATAGAAACGTTTAGTTTTGACTTTATTAAAAGATGCCATTTTTGTGTAATATAAGCATGCTCAAATTACCCAGTGTTTTTCATTGAAATTACCTAGTTTAAAGTCCTAAAATGGCAGTGGTTTTAATTGCTTTTTAAATAAAAACAAAACATAGTAAAAAATTTAAATATTTTAACAATACTAAACATTTTTCTGTTATTTAAATCTAAAAAATTATGAATTTTTATCGTTCAAAGGTTTGAGTTATTAAAATGGAAAAAAAAAAACAACTATTTTTTTTCTTTTTTTACGGAAAACATAGAAGTATTTGTTGAAACTCAACAAAAAGCGGTTCAAAATTTGATCTTTTAATGATAAGTTTTATTAATAACGAGTCATTATATTCTAAAAGTTAGTTTTAATTGTCAGATTGTTTTTTTTTTTTACTTAATTAATGTTATTTTTTTGAGCTAATTTAAAGTGCTTTACTTAGTGATCTTGGTAATACGAGCACTTTTGCTACTTTTTTAAAATCTATGTGTTTTTAAGAAAAAATTTCGGGTGCTCAAAGTCGATAATGAGTAGAGATCCCTAAAAATTTTTATTCGCAAAAATTTTGAATCCAATATAAATATTTTTAAAAATATTCCAATCTTCGCCTAAGGTGCTCATATTACCCTAATCTACCCTAAATCTATTTTGAGCTATTTCTTATTGTGCATGCATTTTCAAAAGCTGCATGCAACTTTTAAAAATGCGTTTAATATAAACTATAAGCACTTTATTATTGTAACCTGTAATTTTAGCTCCAGGATCCTAGAATTCAGGATTCGCATTAATTTTGCTGATGCTTCATTAAAGCCTGATTTCAAAAATTTTATAAAAGATTTTTTGAGTGATTGTATTTTGTAGATAGTGTTTAGAGGTATACTATTTAAATGAATGTTAAACTGAATATTAAAATGTTAAAAATGAATATTAAAAATGGCAGCTTATTCAATAACTAATAGTTCTTTTCATGGTGCATACTCATCAAAAATCAATAGAAAAGGGTTGTTTTAAAATGTTTAGACATACCTTTAAAAGTTTAAAATCACTTAAGAGAAAATATCTTCAAATATCCAGCCGCTCCTATATATCTCAGGATGCCCTTATCATTAGATGTCTATTTCTATCCATTATTTTACAAACTGAGTTATGAAATATTCACTTATATTCACGGAAAATATCAACGTTATATTTTTGCCTCGTTCTCCAGATTTTAAACTATTAAAAATTCTTGATACTGGAAGTTCTTATTTTTTATTTACTTTATTAACACATTTAAATAAACGGTCTATTTGAGGTTTGTTTAAACCAACAGTTCTTATAAGACTTGATTGAGGTATAAAACCATCCTAAAATCAATTTTGGGGTTTTTACTTCTAAGTACCATTCTTTTACTATTAGCAGTGCCCGATCAAGGGGTGCTAAGCTAGGGAGGCTATAGCCCCTGGCCCCCGCAAATTTAGATTTTTTTTTTTTTTAGTCATTTTTAGGCTCTAGCCTATAAAAAGGCCTCCAAAAACAAAAATAGCCCCATTTAAAATACATTTAGATCGTAACTTTTAAAAACAAATGCCCGTCAGGACCTAAAAGTTAGTTTTTGTTAAAGAATAAATTGTATACCTAATGAATAAATATTTTTACCAGAAGATGGCTTAATTATTATTATTATTATTATTATTAATATTATTTTTTTTTTTTATTTATTTATTCATTTTAGGTGCCATAAGAAGTCTTTACGATCTTATCACAGAGCACCGCGGAAAAGCATTTCCTTCCAAATGAAAGAAACTTCACGCCTCTTTTTGTTAAATAAAACAATTAAACATTTGGAAAATTTTGTACCCCAAGGTTGTTTGCAAGCAGATTGTGCACAACCCATCAAAGATGATTCTTCGCCTGATACATACTAAATTGCCATAAAACCACAATAAAATATAAAATAGCAATTATGTCATGCCTCAAAAAATATAAAAAATATATTGTAAACATAATTAAACATTAAAAAATATATAAAAATAAATATGTTTTGTGATTTCTTTAGTACACCTCTTTTTTGCAACAAATGTTTAAAAAAAAAACAATTTGAAAATCTAGGAACTAATGCCAATAAAATACCCCAAAAAAGCCTTTTTTACCGATTTCATAGAAATTGCCCAGAGGTTGCGTTTAACCACGGATCTCTATCTTCTGAGGCAAGCGCGCTAACCACTGCGCTACGACTACTTGTAAAATATTCTCGTAATAATTCTTGTAAGTATGAAACATTTATGATTTGATTAATACAAGCAAACAATGCTATTCTATTTTTAACAATTATTTGATTGGGTGCACTGATATTGGAAACAAATTCGGTTTTGCCTAAGGCACCATTTGGTCTCCTAAATTGCAACACTTTGATTTCTTAATCGGAACAAGCCGCTTCTTAAAAAAAACATTAAATTTAAAAAAAAATCAATTAAAAATTATTTCCATCTTTACTGTAACAACTTCAACAACTTTATAATATAAATAATATAACTTTATAACTTATTAAAATTTCAAAAAGCTTATAATAGGATTAAAATTGCACGGGCAAAATTAAGTTCTTCAAACAATAGGTATAATACAAAAGTTTCAGCTAATATGACGTTCTTTATTAAATTTAAAATTGCTAGGCTAAACTATCAAATCGTCGACCGCCCACCCAGTCGTCAACGTTTTGTCACTAAAAAATATGCTGAGTAAAAAAAACTAATTCGAGTAAAGTGCTGAAGTAATGTCTGAAATAATTGTCTATCTTTTCTTTATATATGAAAGAAGTTTGGCTATCGTAAACATCAAAATAAATTCATACGAAGATTTTGAGCAAAAAAGGTTCCATAAAAACCCTTAACACTTAGGAAACATTTTTTTTTCTTTTTTCAGATAAACACAAGAAGCGCATGACAAATGTTGTGTAATTGATTTTTATTTTTTCATGCTGACACGGAAATAGATAAAATGAGTGTACAAACCTCTAAAATCAAAACATTTAACGGAGAATGGGGGTATAGGGGGTGTCGAAAATTGGAAGAAATTTATTACGTTTTCCAGCATTCGACAACAAAAAAAATAAAAATAAAAATTACCAGCATTACTATATCGTGATTGTCATAATTGCTAAACAGCAATTCCCTTTGTCTCTAAAAATAAGCAGCTGTTTTAAAATGGCATTAAGTTCCCGATAACTTGAGGAGGATATTAGCAATGCAATTGAAGATGTTTAGAGGTAAATTTTACATTTTTAACGTCTTATTACTTAAATAATTTTATAAGCAGTTTTTTGCTTAAAAAACATGCTGACAGCTATTTACTTAATACATCATGCGTTCATGGAAGCTATTTACAATGCATTGATATATATTTTTCAGTAAATAGAAGTCTATTTCAAAATCTGTCAAATTTTACAGCATTCCTCAAAAAACTCTGCATAATAAAATTAGTGGAAAAGCTCTAGCTGCCAAAAAGATGGGTCAAAACATATTCTTGACTGGTGCAGAGGAACATGTGCTAGTAAACTATATATTAAGTACCCAAAAGCGGCTTTACCTGTCACAAAAGATATCATTTTATCTCAAGATATCATTTTATTTTATGTTGGAATGTTTGTCCAATTAAAAGAAGCATGGGGCTTGTGGGCTAAAGAATACAAGATCAAACAACAATAATAAGTAACATACTAAAGAAATATTTGCTTCAGTTTTCCTTCCTTTTAGTTGTTCTGCAATGAGTAAAGACAAAATCAAAAATTCATTTAAAAAATGTGGCATCTATCTTTTAACTCAGAAGCCCCCAATTACAGCAATGAGTTTTTGCTTGTGGGTGTTTTGCATAACGGAAAGTTGGAGCGAATTACGCAAGTAGATCCCATTCAAAGGTTTATTATCAGGACTCAAACCTTACCTGATAAATAATGCACTAATATTATAGAATCACTGGGATTAGGCGCAACTAGAAAGTTGTAAGATAATTTAGTATTGTTTTCTTGCAAATTATCTTCTTTTTTATACTTTAAGGGCAATCGAGGAATCTTTTTACCTTCTCCTGCCTTATCTCCATCAACATCCCTTTCTAAACGAAAAGCTATAACCATAGCCATATTACATCATAGATGGTTTTCCTTACCAAAGAAGACTGTTCCTAAAATTAGAACAGTTGCTCAAGAACTCCATGCAACATTTATCTTGACAACGCATCGAGTAGTATCTATGTTAGAAGATACCCCACAAAAAAAATAAGCTGCCAAAAATTTTCACAAAAAAGTAAGGTAGGCAACTGCAGAAAAGAAAAACTCACTAACGGCTGGTGTTTAAAAAAATTAAGATGTAATGTTAAGAAAAACACAAAAACAAAGCAAAAAGATAACTTACCTTAAATTGTGAGTTTTTATCTTACGCTGTAAAATATAAAAAACAGACTTTTTTTTGCTTACTTCAAAAAATGTTTTCTATAGTTTAAGTTAAAAACTTTAAAAAAAACATGCTTTTCGTTTTGCTACGTACCATTTAAGCACCTGTGTTTAGAGAAGTACTTAAATTTTTTAAAAATTTTATAAGTGTCGAATACTGGAGAGCAAAAACGTTGATGAAGATGTTGTCACTCTAATAATCTTCGCTCTTCTTAAAATTTTGGTCCGTCGAAGCGGGTTATGATGCCCTTTAGTGAGCTGAACTATGGCTAAATGCCTGTATATGGCAACTAGCCTTTTACTTGGACATCGCGTTTTGCAAATGGATTCCTCATTTTGTTTTTTGTATCAAATATATATTAAGTTTATCAAAAACGTTTATTGAAAGTTTCAGAGCTAATTAATCAATCTATCTTAGAATATGAACACTATCTTTTTTACTCAACAACGTGCTTACTTCTTTTTTACTTCAAAGAAATTAAACTCTAAACTTGGTTGCTAGGACATTTTCTTCCAAAAAAGAAGGTCAGTTTTACTTCAGTTTTGAAGTCTTGCATGATTGATATCCCTTCTAAGGTTTCCTAGAGGACGAGAAGATCAAGGAGTGTAATGAAAGTTAAGTTTCCAAAGAGTTTTAATCATTATTGTCATAATAATTTTAATTATTATATCTTTAGTTTCTAAAATTCATTTTTCACAGTTCACATTTATTCACTTTTGCATAAATTTCAAAATAAAGTTTCTCAATTTGTCAAACTTTTTTGGATCTGAAATTTTCAGTACTTGATCAAAGTACCTATTAAATTCATTTAACAAAAGAATTCTTTATTTATAAATAAATATGTGAACAGATCCTTATGAGTAAAATATTTAAAAAAATCTATATACGTTTTTATTCATGTAAAACTAAGCAATTACTGAGTAAATTACTTAACTTTACGTGAATGGAATTTTCTTGAATTAGTCAAAAAAATTTTAACTAATTCGAGATACGTTGTTTTGAAATTTAGTCTATAAAAACTTTTTTTGGGGGAAGCAATTGTAAACTAAGATTAGATACCAAACTTTTCATTTTTTGTTTTGTTTTTCAATTGAAATCTTTTTGAGTTACGCACATTTAAATGCAATATCATTTTGGAAAGTGATTAAGTTTTTATTGTTGTTTGTTGTTGTACCAAAAGTTACAACTTTAATTTGGTGCTGAACCACTAAATACAAATGACATAAATAAAACACTAATACACATATATCTATAAACTTTTGTATTTTTTTTTTAACTGGAAAAAAATACTAATATTTTTTTAATGCAAATACTGTTGCGATTAACAACATCAAAATGTAACTCTTTCGAAACGATAATAATGCTTAAATAAATAATGATTATGAGTAAATAAATATGAATTATGCATAGAGAAATATTAATTACGCTTCACAAATTATATCATGCTTAAATATTAGTTTTAATAACTTTATTTTCAATAAATTTATAATTACGCAATTTTAAATATAGTCAAATTTTACCTCATTTTCTAATGTAATTAATCATAAATAATTAATCATAATTTTACCTCATTACTAAAGGCAAATGTTCCCCAAGATAATGCCAGAGAACACATAGATAAAATATCTTTATGAACTTGCACAGCTTGTTCAGGAGTAACATATCCATAAACATTTTTAGTTTTTATATCGTAACCACCTATAGGTAGCGCGGCCATGTGAAACGGCCCATATTTTCTTCCAATAGATTGAAAAACTTTAGCATAACCAGTCGATCCTGATATAAAGATTTTATAACGAGGACTACGAATAACCCAACTGCACCACAACATTGCATTCTCATTATCAAAATCACGGTTGTGGTAACTTTGGGATGGCGTGCACGCAATGTTAAAGGAAGTAGATTTGATTTCTTGTTCATTTTTTATCTGTTTAAAAAAATTTACAATTAAAATTTTATTTATGTTTTTTTTTTTTTTTTTTTTTTTTTTTGTTCTTTAATTTTACAACTTTGTGATTTAATAAATATTCGTTAACAGTGTATATATATATACATGATCGTTATTAAGAAATAAAAGAACGCGGGAACTCGTAGAAGACCGTAAGGTCTTGTCGTCGAGAACCGCTAAAAAATTTTCGTGTTAATATTTCGTATTTATAAAATATTCTCAAAATAAATAAACTTTCAATAGGAATATATACTTAACATACTTGAAGATAAATAATTAAGAATTAAGAGTTGAAAACATAAATAAATTTAAAGAAAAAAAGAAAAAGAAAAACGGTTCCGTTAAAAATACATAGATGCGTTATACAGTTTTAAGATACCTTTAACAAAAGTGTTAAACAACTATTTACAAATTGTTAAATTATAAAATTTATTAATGCAGTGTTAAATATAAAGTTAAAAAAAGAAACAAAAAATTAATAGAATATAGATATATCATCTAATAAAAAAATGACTTTTTTAAGTTTTTGTTTGAAAGAGTGATAGCTAACTTCTTGAGAAAAGTCAAAATTCTTTAAAACTATTTTATTCCAAAGTAATGCTCCTCGAAATGAAATACAGTATTTTCCAGAATTAGTTTGATAAGCTGATTGACGAATATTATTATCATTTCGTAAAATGTACTTAGTTTTTTCTTTTTTGTTATACAAATTATGAAAAGGTACAGGAGAAATATTGTTTTTACATTTAAACATTAAACATATAACGTTAAAAATATTAAGCTCATATATATTTAAGACTTTCATTTCAATTAATAGAGGCTTGGCATGAATAAATCGATCCTTAAAATTAATAAGGCGTGCAACATGTTTCTGTTGACGATAAAGAGGTTCCAGTTCACTTTTATTAGTACTACCCCACGCAATGTTCGCATAGTTAATGTGACAATGAATGAGCGAATAATATAGTTTAAGTAATGTATGTTTATTTAAAAAACACCTTGCTTTGTACAAAATTCCTATGCTTTTTGATATTTTACTACTCAAATTTTTTATGTGACTTTTCCATGACAAATTTTCATCAATATAAATACCAAGAAAGTTTGTAACTGTTACTTTTTTTAGAAGTATATTATCAATAAAAAGCAGTGGCATTTCATTTGGTATAAGATTTTTTTTGTGATTTGGATGGAAAAAAATCCATTTCGTTTTATCAATATTAAGAGACAGTTTATTTGTCTTAAACCAATCAGAAATTCTTACTAGTTCATTATTGATATTCTGAAATAACAATGTAATATCATTATGAGATAAAAATAAGTTCGTGTCATCTGCAAACATAATCGTCATTAAATTTGAGGCTTTATGGAGATCGTTGATGTAAATAAGAAAAAGAAGAGGCCCTAATATTGATCCCTGAGGAACTCCACAGGTTATATCAAGCAAGTTTACTGGTGAAACTACATCAACGTATACAAATTGCTTTCGATTATTTAAATAGCTTTTTAACCAATTTAAAACACTTCCGTTTATACCGTAAATCTTTAGTTTATTTAAAAGAATATTGTGGTCTATTGTATCGAAAGCTTCAGCTAAGTCAATAAAAACCCCAACTGTATATTGGGAGTTTTCAAAAGAGTTAGTAATACTTCTTGTAAACTGGAGAACTGCGTGTTCTGTCGAGTTATTTTTTTTGAATCCATATTGATTGCTATATATTAAATTGTTTACATGTTATAATATAGCCTTTGGGTTTATCTGGAACAACTTAGCTCTATATTTTATTTTGAATTTTTAAATAAAATAACAAAGAAGCAGTGCTGGAAATCAGGATAACAAGACATGAAAACTTTATATTTGACCTTAAATTTTATAATGCCCTCAAAACTTGTGTCATTTACTTTTTATAATGTCTTTTTTTTTAATTTCAAAGCTCCTGACGTTAAAATTAACATATTTATTTATAATACAAATTTAAAAAAAAAAAAATTGAAATATAATTGGGACTTGTAACATAAATTTCAGAATTGTTCTTAAGAGCGATGTTTGCTCAATTTTAAGTAAAAGAAAACCGTTTAATGAATCCTTGTAAGCGCAGTAAACATTGTTCTTAATAGTTTATATTAAAAGACCCAATTACATTTGAATTTTTATTTTTACTTTGTGGATCTTATATTGTAAGAAAAATATAGTCTCCTACATTTAAAATCCTTACAAAGTAACGAATTAAAAGAAAAAAATTAGAACTCGGGCTTGATTACATTTTTTTATTGTTAGATTAACTGCCCAGTAAATATTTGTTCTTAAAAAGACATCTTTTATGCGTATAAAAAACGTTTAATACGTTGAAAAGATGTAGTAAAAACGTCTTTTTTAGACCAAATACTTGCTGGATGCATTGGATTTGTATTTTAGTTAGTCACATTTGTATTTTTTGGCAAATTGCAACCTGCTTGTTTATTTGTTCTAATTCCATTTAAAAATATTAAAAGAAGCTTTATTAATATCTTAAAATTTTAAAGTTTTTATTATTTTTTTTATTAACAGTTTTCAAAATTTAAAGCAATTAAAATTTTTAGATGTTGTATGAAAACAATTTTAAAAAATTAAAAAAAAGATAATTAATGCCTTTTAAGAGTTATTATTTACTTTACCTCAACATTTTAAATTGGAGTTAAAACAAATAACTACTCTCTCGAAATTCTTAACCGTTACGTTTGGCTGTAAGTTAGGAGTTTAATAACATGTATGTGGCTGCTCGTTAGGCTAACCATAATATTTTAAATTTTTAAATAGTTTAGCTCACTTTTGGTTTTATTTACGCCACATTTTAATGCCACGTTTTAACATCACGTTTTAACATCATGTTTTTACACCACGTTTTAATGCCACGTTTGGCTAATTAAATCCTTATTAACTTAGTAGGTTTTATTGACTTATAAAAAGCATTTGATACTGTTGATCATTGCATCCTATTAAATAAACTAAAGCACTATGGTATAACGAACAAAACTTACAACTGGATTAAAAGTTATCTTACCAATAGAAAACAATATGTATGTAATATATAATCTGGAGTATTAAATGTTTTATGTGGAGTTCCCCAAGGATCTATACTTCGCCCATTCTTGTTTTTAATTTATATAAATGATTTTCGCAATGCGTCTTTAAAACTGAATTCAGTCATGTTTGCTTATGATACAAATCTATTTCTTACCAACAATGATATTATGTATATATTAGGTATATATACCTATATTCTAAGTATATATACCTATATTCTATTGAAAGTATATATCTATGAAAAGATTGCAATGACGTATTGTCATCTTCATCTTCTTTGAGCTTCACTCTGTTTAATTCTTTATTTTATAAAGATTTTTGTAATAAGAAAATTTTATATTTTATAATGCTTATGTTGGCATACAGACGCCATGTTAGAGAAACATAGTGACTGCATGCCATGTTATAAAAACGGTGCTTGTTGACAAGATTTTACTGATTTCTTCGTTTTACGGACGTATTTTTCCTTTTTTCTATATATATATATGTAATTATTTTTGTTAAACAGAAAATTAAATGAAATAAATTTAAAAAAAAAAGATTCAAGCTAAATTAATTTTGGCTTAGAAATTTTGTTAACGGATCATACATTTTCATTAACAAAAAGCAGGCTGATATCATCAAAAGCTATATACAGTTGTGAAGGTTTTTTAATGTAAGCTGAAATATTAAATAACTTTATGAAATACTTTAAGGCAATCCGACAATTTTTTTTGTAATTTGGAATATAATAATATTCTGCAAAAGATTTGTAATACGGTAAAGCAGCTGAGCTTAAAAAGATAAAACGTTAAAATTTAATAAATAGTAAAATGAAATACAAAATCTATCAAATGATTGAATAAAATCATATTAACAAATTTAAATGAAAATAAATTAAACAATTTTGAAAAATCCATAATGAAATTAAGTTTTTTTAAATTTGTTTATACTGTACTTTAACTTATACATATATAGCGTGGTCATACTTACTATAGTGTGATCAAAAAATTCAATCTCATCTTCTTTCCACCAGTCCATCTCTACTACATTGACAAAACCATTTTTTGATAACCAACTACCAACTCCCATAGGTACATACCATAAAAGCATCTCACCAAAACGATCATTGAGTTGTCGAACTGAATATAAGTCTAAGTAATCAAAATGAGTGTTTGTAATAAACACACAGTCAATACGTGGCAATTGCTCTACAGTGTAAACAGGCTTTCTATACCGTTTATTTTCACCAAAATAGTAGCTTTTTCCACCTCTTGGATTAAAATTAGGATTTACCAAAAAACTTACACTGTCTAATTGAAACAAGGCGCTTGCGTGACCTAGCCATGTTACACGAATGCCATTTTCAGGTGGATTTTCAATACGGTTAGGATCAGCCTCCATTAGGTGCATTAATGGCTCTTCCTTTAATTTCTAAACATAAAAAAAGATTGACAATAAAAAAAATGCAATTATAATAAAATTGAAAATTAGTTCAAGGTAGGCTTAAATAAAGAAAACTAAAGCTGAATAAAGCTTTTATTAGCATAAAAATCAAATAATAATAAATAATTGAATAAAAACTGAACGAAACTGGACATAGAGATGACAAAATATTTTTGAAAAAACTGAACCAAACTGGACATAATGACAAAATATTTTTGAAAAAATTTTGATGTTTTAATTACTTCTTAAAACTAAAAACTTTAATAATATTTATTAAAATTTTGGAAATTTTTTTCATGAAAGTGAAACGAATTTAGCAAATACTAAATATATATATTGATCAGTATGAAAGCTAAAATAAAGATTTGTTATCTTTTCTGTCAATATATTGTCTATATTGATGTTAAAAACAGATTTTAAATAAAACATTTTTAATTTTTTTATGTAAAATTTCTTAATATATTATAAATTTATAATAAATTTATTTTAAAACGTACAACATACAGTAAGTTAGCTTAACTTTCAACGTTTAGAAAAATTAGTTTTTTTTTTTGGAAACATTTTTTATTAATTTTTAATAGGATAGAGAGTTTTATTCTCTTTAATATTACATGTATAAAAAATGAGTTTCATTCAATATTTATTTCTTAAAATTATTTTTAAAAGAATCTTTTTTTTAGATCTAACAGTCTAATTGTCTTTTTGATCAGGATTATATTTTTTGAGCGGGTTTTTATTTTTTTTAATTAAAGTTAGTCATAATTGATTTGGTGAGAAGGAGAACAGTCCATTTTTTGTTATTTGCAAATTTTTTCATAATATCATTTAACTTATGATCTCTGAAAATACATTGAAATATCATCCAGACCAAGGAATATCATTAATATCATTATATTAATGCACAAAATTGATTAACTTAAGTAAAGTAAAAATACCGGTTAACGCGAAAAGTTAACAGCTATACTGATCTCGATCTCTCTATGTACTAAAAAAATAATACAAGTCAATCTTTCTTTTATTATTTTTTAACATAAAGTAGATTGATAAATAGTTTAAAAACTATAAATATTTAAAACTTAAACATTGATTACTTTGAAATGTTAATTATAATAAAAAAATAATAGGGTTGTTTAATAATTATGCTGGATCCAAAATTTTTGTGAATAAAAAATTTTTAGGAATCGCTACTCTTGATCGACATAAATATTTGGGCGAAATTTTTTTTTAAAAACACAGAGGCTTTTAAAAAAGTAGCAAAAGTGCTCATATTACCAAGGCTACTTAGTATTATGAGCACTTATATAAATTAGCTCAAATAAATAACATTAATCAAGTAAAAAAATAACAACCTGACAATTAGAACTTTTTTCGGAGTATAATTCGTTATTAACAAAACTTATCATTAAAAAATCAAATATTAAGTCATTTTTATTAAAACAATACTGCTTTGTTTTCCGCAAAAAAATTAATTCGTTTTTTTTTTCAATTTTATTAACTCAAACCTTTGAACGATAAAAATTCATTTTTTTTTTTAATTTAAATAACAGAAAATATTTAGTATCATAAAAATATTAATACTTTTTACCATGTTTTGTTTTTATTTAAAAATCAAATAAACCCACTGCAATTTTAGGACTTTATACTAGGTAATTTCAATTAAAAAAGGCTGGGTAATTTGAGCATGCTCATATTACACAAAAATGGCATCTTTAAATAAAGTCAAAACTAAATGTTTTTGTGCATCGTTTTTCAAACAAAAATGAAAAGAATTTCTAGCTAACATATTTTTCTTTATGAAAAAATAAATTTCATTATTTTTGCACTAAAATTTCGCGCCACAGTTTTATTCATGCGCTATGATATTATAATAACAACGCAAAAAATTTAATAGCGTTTTAATTAGATGATATCCGTTAATTAATGCATATAAATTTGCGCTAAGTATACTGGTTCCTGTTATCACCACATAAAGTCAATTCAAAAAATACAAAGCAACTTTAACTTCACTGCATACATCTTAGAAATCTTTAAGTATGCTCATGTTATCAAGGCGCTCGTATTACCCTTATCTACTCTAAATGTAATAAAAATAGAAAAATATATAAAAAAATAAAAAATATTGAAAGTTCTTGCTTGTTGAACAATAAAACCAATATACATAAGAAAGCTAATAAAAAGAAAAAATTGAGGTATTTATGATTCAATATTGGAACAGGCAAGTTTGTATTTTTAGGTTCTATTAAATCTAGAAAATTCATGGCAATCTGTCATGAATTTTCTATATTTAACTTTTTTTTGTTATCGTCTATGTGATGTTTTGTAAACTTTATTTTATTTTTTATCAATTTCTTGAACTTTCTTTATTATTTCAGTTTTATTTAAAGCATCTCTTTCAACTCTTGCACTGTTTTTACTTGATTTGTTGATATGCTTTTCAGAGACACTAATTTGTTGCAGAAATATTTGTGTTGCAAGTTCTTAACAATTTTTAATAGAAACGTTTTTTTTTTTTTTAATAATATTCAATCAAATTACTTGACATTAGAGTTGTTGGTCTTGATAAAATTGATGATGAAAGCTCTGCATCTGATAATATAATTCAAGAATGTAATATAGTATAGCACAAGATTTAATTAAATGAGTTAACTAGACATTCTAATCATTTAATAAATTGCAACTTTTCCATCCGTCCAAAACCTGCTCTTGAATATACTGTGCCAGTTAGACCATCTAAGATCCATCCTGAGCCTGATCTTAAATATGCTGCGCCAGTTTGACCATTTATGCACTATGATCAATATAACCACCTTTAAAGTTTATAAAGGACAAAAGGCAGTACGTAGAAGCCTAATCTATTTACGTTTATTGTAAAATTAACTTTTTTATTATTTTTAGATTTATTGTATTATTTCATGTAGTTGTTAAAATAATGGTCAATTACATCTAAGTGCAAAATGAAGCATCGTTTGATGTAATGTTGTCGTAGTGTTACTTTATGTTTCCATCTCTCTTTAAAATCATACAGCCATAAGTTTATTAATAAATTTTCTTGTTCTGTGTTTTTCAAATAGTGTAGAACAATAGAAACTATTGGCTTTTGTCAAACAATAACCTCAATTACTGTAACAATAAAATAAATAAATCAACAGCTTCTCAGTATAGCTGTTAACTTTCTGTTTTCACGCCCACCGGTATTTTTACTTTACCCAAGCCAATCAACTTTGTGCATTGACATTTAATGATATTCCTTGGCCTGGATGATATTTCAAAGAATTTTCAATATCTTCTTTACTTTAGTCGTTGTTTGGCATTTTGTTGATACCGAAGGTTTTGTAATAACTATATTAATTTACACAAATAAGATCACACTCAGTAAAAATTATATGTAACATGTTCAAAAAAGTCTGTTGTTGCTCTCTTGAGGGGACAAAGTGTATCCCCCTGGGTACCTAAACACACACAAAATTTAAATCTTCTAGTGACATCCAAGCCGGAAATTTCGCCTTAAATTTGATGAATAAAATTACTGTTTTTTTTTTAATATTTGACGAATTTATATGTGCCTCCATCATCAAGTATATCAGTTTTTAGTAAACAATAAATAAAATAAAATTTGCACCTAATAAAAAATTAGATGATTTACTTTTTATGAACATTTCACAAACATATATAAATTTGGAGTTAAATTATGAAATATAAATAAACCTAAAATATGAGCATTTAAAAAAGGACATACGGATTTGTGACGTCCATAAGACGTCGTATAGGCGTCACACTAACGTCTGTACCTGCTGGGTATCCATATACTTTTGTTAAGCAAATAGAGCAACTGATATTCTTTGAATATGAATAACTCTTTAGTTTCCCAAGAAAACAATTAACGTCAATTAACTTTCCCAAGAAAATGATTAACGTCAATTAAAGTTTTTTGAAAATAGAGTTGCAAGTACTTCTTTAATTTCAGGTTTTTTTAAATCCTTTTTATAAAAACTTCAAGATTATTGATTATATTATCTTATCGAACTTAATTTTAAGAAAAATTGCAGTTCAAACAACGTAGTTTTAAATGAAAAAATAAATCACTGACAACCCAATTTGCCACTCCAACTGGGTCCCAGCTGGGATTGAGCTAGATAAAGTTTGGGTTGGGAATAGATCTGGTTACCAGATAGGTCCCATATAATGTAAAGATATCGCCTCAAATTAAATCTGGGTTTCTATTGGGATTGCCGGGAATGGTTTACGGCTGGTTAGAAGATGGGACGCAAATAGGTATATATATAGGTGCTTTTTTTTTATCAAAGCAGTTTTATTAGCATCGTTTTTATTAAGATTTTTTAAATAAATAATGTAAAAAAAGCTTTAAAAATGAGCTTCCAGAGCTTTAACTACGCCATTGTATAGTATTGAATTGCTGATACGGAATTTATCCTAGCTTCAAATGCTGGTTTCACAGCCTTGCTTCAGGATTAGTGTTTTAACATGGTCACTAATAATGCACTATTGCTTAATTCATGCAGAAAAAGTTGTATAAATTCTTTGATATTTCCAAACAAGTTTTACCGATAATTTAGCTCCGTCTGATATAACTAAGTTCAAGCTGTTTCAATATTCAATATAACTAAGTTCAAAACTTTAGACTTTTAGACTTTTCTTGAATTAAAAGGTTAGAAAGAGTTTTATCAGTCAACTCTTCAGACATATCTAATCATATCAGTTATATCATCAGGCATATCCAATAAAGCATTCTTTGATAATGGCTATTGCTTCATCTCATAAACATAGCGAATGGTTAGAGAAGTTTGGTCTTTGTGACTCCAATCCATAATAATTGAAAAATACTTTGCAAACTTTACCCTGTTCACAATAGTTTTTTTTACATGTCAAAGCAAAGAGGTTAATGACTTCGTTTTAGATGTTTACACTTAGCATTTTTAAACGTCTTTCTCCATCTTTAACTTGCCGTAAGTGCTTCATCAAAATCGGATAAAATTAAACAAGTAATTTGATAATACAAAGGAAGTTATCCCATTATTTTTTGAACTTCCATGAACTTCCATGGAATGCAATATTATGTTCCGCCAAGTACATAGTCACTGACACAATTCTATTTACAATACTTCACCACCTTTCTGCTTCATTTTTAATTTATTGAGTAAGATCTTGATCAAAAACTTTTTATTTTTTATCCATTTTGTTGCTTCGATCCATTTCTCAGAACAACTGAAATGCGGTGAAGGTGTCTTATGGATGTAAGCTCCTCTGTAAACTTTTTCCAGTTGTTGAAACCTACTTTTTTCCCAAAGTATGATTTTATAGTCGAATCAAACAAACGACAACAAAGACAATAAGCTGAGTCAGTTTCTGAAGAGTAAATAAGCTATCTCCATTTTACTTGTTTACCATTTCTTGCTACCATGTATCAAAAATCATTTGAGAAATGGTGACTTTTGGTTTTAGGATACTCCTTATTGCTCTTCAGGAAAAGAAGTGGATCTATTTTGATAATGGAATATCTCTCTCTCTCTCTTTCTCTCTCTCTTACACCCAGGCATGCTGGCCAAACAGATGAGTCATTAGATAAGAATCTGGACTATCAAAACATCTGTTGTAATTGCGATACTATCAGGTTTTAAATTACATTTAGGCTCTTTGTCTTTCTTTGATGCTTTCTGAGCTTTTTGACAAATGTCCAAAGATGAAGTTGATAAACAGGTTGCAAAACTAGCTGAAGAAGTTAAATTATACAACAGAGGTTTACTCATATATCTTCTTCTTGGTTAGATAAAGACAGAGTTTTCATCACATAAAATATTTAGTCCACAAGGATGTGAAGAACTTGGAGAAAGAAAGAAATGTGTTAGCTTTTGAATTTTACTTAAAACAGCTTCATGGACTGTTTCAGAGTCCTTAGCCAATTTTCTTCTCTGAACACCTGACAGTTTTTTTGACATTTTTAAAAAATAGTATTCAAATTCAAATTAACAGAGTAAAACCTTGTTTTCGTTTCTGGAAACATAAATTATCTATAATGTAAATTTTCTAATTCATCATTAAGGTCACTACTGATTACAGTTTGCAACCCTTTTTGTTACAACATTCTTAATAACTTGCTGTCTTGTTGGTATTTATTTTATTTATGTCATTGTCCGCGCAAAACAGATATGAGTTCAGGATTAATAAGCAAAATCATTCAAAAAATAATTTAAGACAAACAATGCGAAAAATTTTTTTTTTTTGTAAATAAAAGAAATTGTTTTAAAATATATATAAAAAAAAACTTTTTAAAAACAAAATTTTTTCAATGGACTAAAAAAAGTAAATAAATATCTAATATATTTTAATGAATTTGAAAAAGAATAAACTTAATAAAAAAGTTTATATTTCACTTTTTAGTTTATTTCAAAAAATTTTAATAAAAATTTCTTTGAAATGGACTAAAAAGTAAAATATAAACTTTTTCTCGGACCCAAGGATTTTGTGCATGTACACAGCCTGAAATATTCATAAAAGTCAATGACTGAAAATGTTGGCCGCGCAAAATTTATATGTTAAAGATATTTTATGAAGTTATAAAAACTGCTATAAAAAAAATCAGCCATGGCGTCCCACAGGTTGCGGCAAACGGAGCAATTTGCCATTTTTGCCCCTCCCTGCTCTTCCTGGAGACAGCCCTGCATTTTAGTACTTTTATAGTAAGCTAAGTGGATGAAATTGATAGGTATTTGATATTTGAGAATTTTTTCTGGATTTTTTTTTTAAACTTATTTTGCTAGAATTACAAAAATTTATTTTATTACATTACTATTGTAGTACTTTAGTATAAATTTAACTTACAAAGATTGTTAAAAAATTTGTTTGGAGTTTGGGACAATCATTTTTGGTAGCATGGCATCAAAGTACAAAAGAAATTAAAATAAAGAAAACACGTAACAGTAAAGCTGCATGGACCACTTTACGAACCTTGCGCAGCTCTTTTTAAGTTAAAACTTTTATACTGTTTTTTTTTAAAAAAAAAAAAAAAAAAAAGTAACAAAACTAAAATTTAAAAATTAACAATTTTAGTTTTTAAGTGACATACCTCTTCAGTTGGTATTTCAATTCTGTAAAGTGAAAAGAATGATTTAAAGTTAGTCCAACTATTAGGTAATACCTCCTCAGTTTTCCATGGTAGTAAGTATTTTCCATCTTTTATTTTAGCACGCGGGTATTCATCTTTTGTTCTTTTACTAAGCAATTTGATAACTTCAACCGTTTTTTTTATTGTAGTTGATTTTGATTTATGTACTGCCATGTGTTTTTAATTACATTTATTTGTTAATTTATTTGAGGGTTTGTTAACATATATTTAAAAATAAATATTGCATGTTTTCAAAATACTATTTCAAATTAAATTTTTTTATCAATGGGTTAACATGAAGTGTATATAGTGGCTTAACAAAAAATTATGTATGAATAACTTTATTATAAAAAGTTGCGTTGCGTTACTCTTGATGAAAAAATATGACTACTGCGTTTCCTGTCTTGAATTTTTAAAATTGAAATAGCTCAAGATGACAACAAAACATTAAACTCATATGAAGCTTTGGCAAATTAAATTATTTGAAACTGAAAATACAAATTTGTTTAAAAAGATTTAGTGTGCTGCCTCATCAAGTTGAAGCAATCAAATAACGATTTTCATACTTATAAATCTTTAATTTTTTAATGTAACTGTTTTTGAGACTTTCAAAATCATTCTATTATAAATCTAAATTTAAATTTTTCAACTTTTAATTATTCAAAATAAAATTAAAAATTCAAATAGAATTCAAATAGAACTCAAATAGAAATTGAACAAAACAATTCAGTTGCGTCTAAATATATTCAAATACTTTTTAATTTTTTTATTTTATTTTTCGTTTCTAATTTAAAAATAAATTTAAAAAAAAGTCTATATTTATATTTAATAAATATAGAATTTTTTTTTTTATATGTATGAGTTTATATTTCATATACAATTATTAAATATAACTATGTTCAAAATATAAATAAAAATAAATGCTAAAGTAAAATACAAAAACTTATAGTAAAAAACACATGAATAACTTTAAAATAAAAACTTTTTTATAGAAAATATTTTACATTAACATGTTTATCAATATTTTTAGATTTGATGTTCTTGAATATATCGAGTAAGAGTTACGCAACTTAAATTGTAGTACTTAAGTAATTGTAGTGATTTATAAAATTGCATTATATAATCATTATATTTTCAAAATGTTCAATTGTAGTTTATTATAGTTAAATAAAATAGTAACTGAAACTTTTTTTATATTACTACTATAAAGGAACTATTATCTCGCAGCTATTCCGCATTTTTAATAAAATAATTGAATAAAATGAACCTTAAAATGATTTTAACATTTAAATACAAGTTTAAATATTTATAGTAATTGAATTTTCCCATGGTGAATAAAGTTGTTCCTTCATGGAAGAAACTTGGAGGGCGTGGACACTAGTATCCCCGGGAAAATTCATTACATTTAGATTTCCGTTTCATCAATCCAATCAACACTTTAACTTTTTTCCACATTAGCGACCATTACTTCTTGTTGTCGACGTGCAATGACTCTCAGAGGCTTAATTCTCACGGATAGAACGGTTGATTCCTGGATGTGTTATACACTACGACTGCACAGCGTGACTGTTGATGCAAAGTACTGGTGACATTTCTTCATTGTGAATAATCACGGATTGCATCGATAGACAGTACAAGGTATATGGAATTGACCGATACGGATTTGAATAGCGGTAAAAGATATAGTCAACTTTTAAACTTTGTGCTGCAAACAGAGATGGCATGCTGGGTTTGTTGTTCGTTATGGAATTTTAAGACCTTTGCTTGTTTAAACAACTGAAAACGGAGAAGAAAGAAATCTGTCTATTATTTTATTGAAATAGAAACTTCTTGGTTTTAAACAGCACTTATTTTCATTACATTTTACAACCTGCGTAAGATATTGGCTCGTTCGCGTGATTATCATACCATTTCTGATCCCTTGACAAGAGGAGTTGTTATTGTAACTTAGACTCTCAAGCCTAACCAAACCTCACCAAGAGTGGTTTCTGCAAACTTAAAATTTGTTTTCTCTAAACTGACATCAATTGTAACACCTCTCTCGTTCAGATGGCTACCATAGTGGTCGTGTGGTAATGTCAATCAAGAAATTTCCTTACTAAGTGGTGCCATTTTTCATTCAAGTCTGATAAATGCAGTTCTTCAAGGAGCGTTTGTAGCAAGAAATAAAGTATCAAAATCATGCTGAATAAAGCGATGTACTGCAACCTTTATTACCTTTTGGTATCTTGAGTTCTCATCAGGGACACCATCAATTTTCAAAACTACATAGGTTTAACCAATTAATTAAAACCACTTCTGGTAATGATATAAAATTCTTTGAGTGTAAGCAATCTTTGAAAATCAAATCCATGGCTGAATACTGTTGATTTTAAGTGTTTCCCTGATCTGATTGCTATATAGGTTGGTCTGGAATACCCTACTGCTTCTCAGTTTCCAAGATCATCTGGCTGAATTGAAATTCCAGCATACACCGATGGAATTAATTTTTTTCCTGCAGCCACCACCCAATCTGACTCTGTACTCAAAGTGCATCAGCCATGGACTTTGTTTTTTGGCAGCAGTCAACTCAATTGGAATACAAGCTTTATCATCTTAACTCAAAAACATACTTCATTCATTCCTAACATGGAACGCCAAGTGCCTTATTCTAGCAGTAAAAAATAAACCGCCGATATGTTTAGTGCACTGATCATTCTGTACTCTAATTTTTTTTACTAGTTCAGTTGATAAATGGCAATGGCTTTCAAGAGATGAACTGCGCTTTGGTAAGAGACAAAGGTAAAGCCCACTTCTATTGATTTTGAAGCCATCCATTTTCAACTGTTCAGCCAGTTGGTTTAACGTTTTGATGCTTCTATATACATCACTAATTCATTTTTCATGAGATGCTGATTCATGCATAGCAATGTTCGCAATAGTTTTATGTATTCAAGTCTGATTTAGTTTAATTATTGGCCTGCTAGGCTTGTCTTTGATATTCAGATTTAGGCGTAGTTCAGGATTTTTTTAAACAAAGGTTTGGTTTTTTTTTTTCAGTTATCTTTTTTGCTCTTTTTTGGTCAGCATTATTTTTATTCAACTGCTCTTCTAAACTTTTTTTTTTTTTCTTTTTCTTTTCTTTTAATTGAGCATTTTGTTCATATGAAAGCGTCCACGTTTTTGTCGCTCGTACAAACCGACTAAACTCAGAATTTCAATCTGTGTCTGCAATTTTAGTTGAATTGGGGCGATTCTTGATGTTTTTATAAGTATTAGGTCCAGGTTCTAATTCGTCAGTAACAATATTGGTACTTTCTTTATCAAACTGCAAATTTGAAGTCGGAAGATTTTAGTGAAGCACATTAATGGTTGAGGCAGTGCCGGTTTTAGCAATACCAGCGCCCCTGGCGAGATTCCTAATTAAGCTTAAAAAAAAACCTCTCTCTACTAGCAACCGTTACAGGTATAGTCAATAACATTCACAATGTTATCCACACATTTGGATATAGCTCTTGTAAGTTGCAATCTTTAATGAAGTTTAAAACAAAAGCAGGAGTAACCACATTTTTATCATGCAAAAAAGCTTTCAGACATAGGAGTTAATCGCACAACATATTACCGTCTATATCTGACTTAGAGTTTTGTATTGTACAAAAATAACCATGAGTCTGAATACTTACTTAACTGATCAAATCTTTACTTAAATGAGCTTAATGTATAGTCCAAAAGACAGTTAAAAAATTCAACTTCAAATTTTTTTTGGCTCATTGCGGACAGTTTCTCCAGCTTGACGCCTAATACATCAAACTCTTGATGGGGCTTTAAACACTGCTTTGATTTCTAGTTCTTCGACCAATTCCTTTGCTGTTAAAATGGCGCTTTTGAATCCTTTATTTCTAAATTCCTCCAAGAAAGTGCAGTATTTTTTCAACATTTCTGTGCATTTACATGTCTGTTGATTGTAGATTTACTAAAGACATTAGCTTGAAAAAGTATATCATACCAAACAACCAACAAAACTATGAAACTGAAATCTTTTAACTTTTCAGCTAGATTAGTAGCCTCATAAGAGGTCTTAACATCAGTTTTTTGATTTTAAATAGCCAAAGTAATAAAGGCATCATGGATGGCACTAATTTGATAACGAACTGCTTTAACACTGTTTATTCTTTCTTCCCAATGTTGAAAACAATGCGAATAACCTCTAAAGTAGAAGTAAAGAAGACTTAGCAGCATCACATAGTACGAGATTGTAGCTATAAAAAGCACGCGGTACATAAACAGTTAAGAAATTTATGTCCAAAATTCCCCTTTAAACCCCAATATTTTTTTCCTTTCACGTTCGCCCCTTTGTCAAAAATTTTATGAAATGTTCTTTCACTGATATTTTATTGTCATCTAAATAATTTTGGTCTTGACATCTGTAAATGCAGAGGGAGAATATAGGGAGTTGTTGCAAAAATTCAAAAAATAACCCAAAAGGCCATCTTTGTTCATTGTGCATCTCACAAGCTTAGTTTAGTTGTGAGCAAATTGTAATGTTCAATGTGTAAAAAATTTATTTAAAACAACTTTAAGTCATTTCTTTCTTTTTTAGTTTGTCTCCAAAACAAAGCACATGTTTAAATAATTATCTTTCTGTTGGTCGATGTTTGTCGTAAAAGTTGGATTCAAAAATTGAAAAGTCTAGATTGATTTTTTTTTCATCAGTTCTTGTTGCAGTTGAAGAAATGAGTAATAACACTTTAAAACTATTTAACAGCGATACTTCTGCCATGGCCTCTTCATATATAAAGTTACTGGCTGACTTTTTTTTCATTGTAAGTTTAGTTTTAACTAAAAATTTGATGGATTATTTCTATTGTATTACAATTAGACTCCAAGATAAACAATACTATATATTTCAGCAAAGTTTTGAAATTGAAAATTAAAAAAAAAAGCTTCAAGAAATTAAACTTAATATTGATTCTTATCACTTTAACTGGTATAATATTGCTCTTGAGTCAGCAATGTCTTTAAATGTAAAAGATCTAAACCTAGAACATATGGTAAGAAAATCAATCGCGATAACCACCCGTCATCATCAATATCTGATTATTTTAAGCATTCTATCACTTTACCTCTACTAGACCATCTCATTTTCTAGTAGAGGTAAAGTGATAGATTATATTTCTGTATAAATTAACATTAAGGCCTTGTCTAAATGTCAATTTATACAGAAACTGCTTTTTGCAATTTCTGTATGAATTGACATTAATGCAAGGCCATTCTAATTATTCAAAGTAATAAACAATTATATTATTTTCATAAAATATAACAAATAAGTTGGAATATTATTTTATTTTATGAAATTAATATAATTATATTAATTATATATCAAATATATATCAAATTATAATATAAAATGTAATTAACTTTTAACAATATTTTTGTTATTTTTTTTACGTTATTTTAGTTTTTCTTACTGTGATTAATTTTTAGTTCTAAATAAAATAAATATGTTGGCTTTCTATATAAATGGAACTCATTTTTTAATTGTGAAACTTATTATAGGTGTCAAACATGTAAGTTTTTACTTTTTTAAACTAGTACTTGTGAAATATAGATATAAAAAAATATAGATATTTCATAATTTTAAATTTTTCCTTTTAGTAACACGTCAAAAAATTGAATAGAAAATGAACTAGTTTCGGAAGTAGAAAGTTTCAAATTTCAAGCAAAATCTTTAATAGATAATCTAAAAAGTGCCAATCCACTTGATCTTTTACAGCTTATTCATAAATATTCTTTCAAAACTGCTTACCCAAACATTGAAATCTGTATGAGGATATTTTTGACACTACCAGTGACATTTGCATCTTGTGAAAGACGTTTTAGTAAGTTGAAGATAATAAAAAACAATTTTTTTTTTTTTTTTTTTTTTTTTTTCCAGAAAAATATGAACAAGGTAAAGAAAATCACATGATCTTATCATGAAGCCCTTTACAATCTATATAACGAATTAAAAGGTAGAAAATTTACAAATATTAAAAATTACATAAGCGTTAGAATATTCTTCAGATGTTAAGCAAGTTTTAACATAATATTTTATAATATGGATATATAACATTCTCAATATTGAACAATATTATAATATAAAGTATTCAGCATATATTGTTTAAATAATATTCATCACACAGTCGACAAAAATATCAAATAACTTGAAATACTAAAAATAAATAAATATATTTTGTGTTGAAAAGATTATTTTTTTTGTTTTCTTTTTAAAGGAGGAATAAGACCATTTAAAAGAAAAATCAACGTTAGGTAAAACTATTTTATTCCAAAGAAATGGACCACGATAAGAAATACAAAATTAGTCAATTTTTATTTTGCAAAACGGCTCTTGAATATTTTTACTATCACGAAGTTCATATTTGTTTTTTGGTTTCAAATTATAGAGATTTATAAATACACTTGGAGATAAATTTTCTTTACATTTAAACATAAAACATAAAATATTAAAAATATTTAGTTTGTATATATTTAAAGCTTTCATTTCTATAAGAAGTGGTGTTGAGCTTGAAAAACAATTTCCAAAATTAATTATGCGAGCTGCGTGTTTCTGATGCCGATAGAGAGATTTAAGTTTGGTTTTGTGAGCGCTTCCCCATATAATATTGGCATAGTTTATATGGCAATGAATAAATGAATAATATAGTTGAGTTAGTTGCTTTTTATTTAGTATATATCGAGCTTTGTATAGAACTCCAATGTTTTTAGCAACTTTCATTGAAATACTATCAGTTTGCTGACTCCAAGATAAGTTTTCATCTATTATGACTCCTAAAAATTTTGTAAACCAATATGATATTCTTTTTAATTCATTATTCATATATTAAAAAGTATTTTTATGTTTTAGTGCGACTGAAATAAATTCGTATCATCTGCAAAATTTACGGTCGCTAGGGTAGAAGTTTTGTGAAGATCATTTATGTATAATAGAAACAATAGTGGTCCAAGTATGAACCCTTGGGGGACAACGCATGTTATATTTTTTATTATTTGCGATGAAGGTTCTTTGTTATAAACAAATTGTTTGCGGTTACTTAGGTAGCTTTTGAATCAATTTAGGGTTTTATCTTTTATACCATAGCTCTCTAGCTTTTTTATTAAAATATGATGATTAACAGTATCAAAAGTATTGACAAGTCAATGAATATGCCTAGTCTGAATTGAGAATTCTTAAATGAATCGGCAATACTGCGTGTTACTTGGAGAATAGCGTGTTCAGTAAAACTGTTTCTCTGAAAACCAAATTGATTTTTATAAAGGAGTTTATTATCAATAAGATAAGTGTAAATTCTATTATACATTATTCTTTCTAATATTTTTGAAAAGACCGCTAGAACTTAGATAGGACGATAGTTTGTTATGTTGGTATGGTCACCTGTTTTAAAGATTGGAGTTACTTTGGCTATTTTCAAACTATTTGGAAACGATCCTTGAGTAATAGATGCTTTGAAGACTTTGAAGAGGATACCTTTAATCTCATTGAAAGAGTCGATTACAATATTTCCATTTATATCATTAGGCCCTATTGCTTTATTCCTTTTTAATGATTTAAATGCAATTTCGAATTCATTATAAGTTAGATTTGAAAAATTTATAGTTGAATTTGGTGATGATATAAATTCATCAACAGAGTTGTTGTCTATTTAAGGTCTTCAACGAGCCAAGACATATTATAAAAATTGTCTATCATCTCAATTGAATCAACACTGACAAACTCACTTAATTATAATGTTATAAATGATTTCGCATCACTGAAGGCCAGAAGAGTAAACTCAAAATGACATTTGAAAAACATTGAAACATTGTTATTATAATAAAAATGAAAAATATTTTGAACTTTTTTATAAGGGAGGGGGAGGGGCGCCGAATTTCAGACGTTTTGGCTTGCTACGGCACTGATAAGCAAAGCAACTTATATAATAGAGTCTAATAAACTATTTTGATATAGATGAAAATAAACTTTTTTTGTAAATTTGTAAACTTTGAAGAACAAAAATATCAAGAAGAACATCTGGAACAAAATTTTTATTTACATTTTACATTACATTTCCATTTCTTAATTTTAAACTTATGTTTTTGTATAGTTTGGATCCGTAAGTCATGTAATTGCTTTTTTAAATTATAAAAAAACACTAAATGCATGTAGCTTTTGATAAAAAAACTTTAGTGGTTGCAGAAACGTCTATATAATAACTTAGGCTTACTCATGGATTTTCGTTTATGGAATAATTATATTTTTACATACAATAACACAAAAATAATATCAATAAAATTTTACTTTATTAAGACCATCATTTTTTTCAAACTATCCGCAGCTTATTAGTACTAATTATATAAACATATTAATAACATAAATATCTCTGTCATGATATATGCGCAACCGGTGTTTTGATGTTTTTAAAAACTTAAAGTTTTTTTAAAAATTCTCTCCTTTTTGATTATTATAATGCAAAAAAGATTTATTCAAATAAAAGTTATCGAAGTTTTTAGCTATGCTTCTTATATTAATATGAAAAGTGTTAAAATTTTTTGCAATTAAGAAATTCCTTTAATTCATCGACATGGTAATAATGACAGTTACTTTGTAAAACATGCTTCATAAATGCAATTTAAGTCTGGATCTGATTGGTCATCAATTAGAAAATCAACAGATTGAAAAAAATTGTCAGCGTTCAATTGAAATTTAATAGAATTTTTAGAAACCATTTTAGGTTTTGTAAAACCATAAAATGAAAGAATTTCCTTTAAAAATCGTGCATTATTAACTTATTATTTATTTATTAACTTGAGCCCTCCTTTCATAACCCTCCCAACTTTCCTCCACGGATTCAATCCCGGCTACCTTTAATTTACTTCTTCTACTTATGTCTTTAATCTCAGCCAATTCGTCTTTCATTTTAACTGTTAAATTTGTTTCTGGTTTACTGTGATCTTCATTTCAACTACTTTGACTATTATTTTAGCATAATTATCAGTAATAAATTCGACCGGTTCTTTCAACTTTGAGATGTTAATTGATTTGAGATGTTAATTGATTTAACTTGTCAATAGAGCTCTCTAATGTTTCAATTTTTTATTGTTGAAAATTTTGATAATTGTGTTCTCACGTATATTTTAAATTTCTTTTAGTTGAGAAGTCGTAAAAATTTTTTCCTTGCAAATAAAACATGTCCACTCACAGCAGTTTAAATTCGCTTTTATGATATGGTTTGCTATATATTTTCCTTTGCTTTGGACTTTTTATTGCATTTAGACTGAACACACTTTATTCACACCTTAAATCGTTTATGTTTATAAATTGATTACCCCCCTCACCCTATTTTGACATACTGTTGACAAGGGGGAGGGAGGGGGAGGCAAAAATTTCAATAAATTTTTTAACGTTGATGGACAGCCCCTAAGGGAGCTAATAACTAAAAACCTAGGAGAGCTCAATTGGTTAGTTAACAAATAGTGATAGTTCAACCAATTTGTTTAACTCAACTGAGATTAAGACTACAACAGTAAGGGTTTGTTATACAAAGAGTATAAGCTGCTTTGAATAAAGAAACCATTCTGATTTTGTTTTTTAAATCTTCTATTCTTTTTATAGAATATAAAATAGAAAGAAGTAGGGACGTAACTAAATAAATAAAAACAAACATAAAACGCAACATTTATAAAAAAGTAACAACAAAGAGTGTTAACAGTAATGGCGGCTTTATAAAAATATTAGGATGGCATGGGAAAAAACAAAATGGCGGCTTTATAAAAATATTAGGATGGGAAAAAACAAAAACATTCTTTTAACAACTAATGCTTAGTTATTAAACTTGAAAGAGGATACTTTCGAACGATAATCACAGTGTACAAATTTTTAAGAAAAAATCACGTTAAGTACTTTTCATAGTTTATACGTCAAAGGCCTAATAATTAAGGCCCTATATACTAATAGAATGATATTGAATCTTCAGTATTTAAATGTGTACTATCCACAACACATTTTTCTATATTTTTTAAAAATAGAATCCACAGATAAAATTTCATTTACAATATAATTTACAATTTTAGAAGCCGATAAAAAAATCTTATCAAAAGACCGAACAATCAGGCAAATATGTCGGAAAGCGTAATTTCAAAGTCAAGATTTGAAAACGACTGATTAAATTCAAAAAAAAATCGACCAATATATTGTAAAGAAATTTTACAAAGACTGACGGAGATGAATGGTATATTACCAGCTACCAAATAATCAAACAAAATTACTCCAACCGTCAGATCTATTAAAGAATTTAAATTTGTAAAGTTTGTAGGAGTTGAAAAATATTCGTCATCAAAAAAAATAAACACATGCACACACACAAAAGTAATACTATTAGAAAATGACACTCAAGTAGTGAGACATATTTGTTCTCAAAAATCTAATATAGCAGTTCTAAAAATTAAAACTAATATATCATTATATTGCGCTGTTTATCCACTGTCCTCTTCCAAAACTTACATCGTATTTTGAGGCAACCTTAATTGGAGATACAATTTTGTCATTGCTTAGATCTTCGTTATCAAGCCAAGCGACACTTTTGTTTTCATTATTTATCCCTCTATTTTGATGACGTGTCCGTGAACTATAAACACGTTTTTGATTTACTTTACTAATTTTCGAACGATCTGGAGTTGATTTATTTACACCTTTCATTAAATGAAACGCTGAATTATTGTAATCTTCAAAGCCATAATTGCTATGCCACGGTGTAATAAATGGAGTTTCCAAAAGACCACGACCTAGGTGTGCTCGCATAGAGCGTCGTGGACTTGTTCTTTGTCGGTGACTGCTTGGCAAATCAACGCAGTTTGGTCCTCCAACTAGAACTTTTGGGCCGTGCTTAGAGTAACCAATTCCTGATTTATTACCGTCCCAATGAGCAACAGGAAATCCAGCAACCTTAGAGTAGAAAATTAAAACAATTTTGAACATCCAAGCAAACCTTATTATAATTTTAACTTATTTAAAAAAAAGAGAATAAGACTTGAGTTACGCACATGAATCCTTTATCCGTATAAATATTTATTGAATAAAAATACCGAACACCGAATAAAATACAGAATAGGGTCAGCCAAACATCTCTATTTACACTTAATAAAACATTAGTAGCAAAATTTATCTTACATGTAATGTTGCACCGCTTCCATTTACAGGTCGTTTGCTTCCAGGACCCCTTGAGCGAATTCTTTGCATGTAACTTTGAGATTGACTGATATCATAAACAGGTCCAACAGACAAGGGATACAAATTTAAAAAAGGTGAATCATTCCTAAAGCCGGCAATTAAATACTTCGAATGTAAACCCTCAGTGACGCACCACCGAAGGCGATCAAGCTTTTCTACTAAATGTGGCTTTTCGATAAAATAAATATTTACGACAGTTAATATTTTATTTAAAAAACAAAACAAAATATTTTAAATTTAAATTTTAGAAAAATTTTAGAAATGCCATTCACAATAAATAAAAACTACAGAAAAAATATTGATAAAAAACATAATATATAGATCCAAAATATATACACAAAAAAGAAAAATGACGATTTCTTCTTTAGCTTCTGTTAATTACAAATTTATAGCAATACAGTTAACATTAAAATTATTTATTTTTAAAACATCAAAATGCATCAAGTTTATATTACTTACCTTACCGTCGCAGAGTTCAAGAACGTTTGCATTGGTTGTGGCTTGCAGCCATTTACTGTGGAATAATTTTCCATCAAAGAAGTTCCAAGGACAGCATAATTCCCAAGGTAAGGGTGATCCACAAGCATCATTAGCTAAGATTGCATCTTCAACACCTTTCATAAAAATTGCAGCAAGTTGAATACACCTAAATTTAAAAAGTATAAACTAAGGCTTAAACTATTAATGCATTAAAGCTATCAAAGCAAAATGCAATTAAAATGTAAATTGAAAATTAAATTTTATTTGAATAACTTTCTGACTGAACCCCTTTAAGCGCAAACTAATTTATTTTTATTATTTTTTAATTCAGTTTCGCTCCCAAAAAGGCTGAAAGCAGCCACAAATAAGTTGGGAGTTACTAGAAAACAAAGAATATTGTTAAGAGCAAAGAAACGGTTGACAAAAGTTGTAAGTAATACCAACGGTTGACAAAAAGTTGTAGGTAATACCAGTCAGCAAAACATGAAGATGGGAGAGAGTTCCAAAAGGTTAAAGTGCGGGGAAAAAAACTAGACGAATAAAAAATTTTAGAGCAGGCATGGACAATTACAGTGAAAAGATGGGGCTTTGCTGAATGAAAAGTCAAGCGAGAATGAGTTTTAATATATAGAACTAGAGATAATAGCTCCTTTGAGCAGCAACCATGATAGCATTTATAGAAAAGACGCAACTTTACGACAATGGGTGAGAGGCTCAAGCATGGCAGATAGAGCAGGCACAATTAAGTTTACAATGCGTTTTTAAACCCTGTCTAGAAGAGAAAGAGCGTCATTAGAAGAACCAGCCCAAATATGACAAGAGTATTCCATACAGAGACAAATGTGAGATTTGTAAAGGTAGTGAATAAAATCAGGAGTAAGATAATGGCAAGCACGATAAAGAGAAGCAACCTTAGCAGATACTATCTTAGCGATTGGTTGTATATATGGTTTCCATAAGAGGTCAGTTGTGAACAATAATTCAAGAAGACATAAAGTAGAGGACTCAGTGAGAGGGATTCATCAATATAGGAATGTCGATATTATTGCAATAGTTATTTGTAGAAAATGAAAACTGCATTTTTTTCGATTTCAAATTTACAAGCCACTGCGAGCCCCGATCTGTTACAGAAGGGAGATCAGATTCAAGATCGGCTGTCTGTTCTAAGCAATCAAAAAGAAAAGACTTTTGTCAAGACAGGAGTATAAAGTTTATCCTCCTGCAAATAAAGCCACTTTAGATGTAAAGTTGTCAGGAAGATCATTAATGTATATAAGAAAAAGAACATGACCAAGGATAGAACCCCACAAGTTACTGGAAATAAAGAAGAGCGTTGACCTTCGAGGGTGACTTATGTAAAGCGGTTAGGAAGAAAAGATTTGTCAACCTCAAAAATTTTCCCAGATAAACTATACGAAGCAAGCTTATGAAGAAGACCAGCATGATAAACTTTATCAAAAGTTTTAGATATATCAAGAAAAATTGCCCTAGCCTCGACGCCTCTATCTAATGCATGAAGAATCTTTCAGTAAAAGCAATTAGCAAATCAGATCAGAGAAGATCTAAAACTGTATTCATTGACAGTAAGTTATTTAACTCAAGATGAGATGTTAGAAATTTGCTGATCAAAAACTAAAGACCTTGCTAATAGCAGATAGAAGACTGATCAGACAATAGATGTAAAAGTCAGAATGTTCACCAGAGCTTTTAAAAATTGAAACCACAGATGCATTTTTCCAGAAGGCAGGAAAACAAGATTCAGTTAAGCACTTATCAGGTGGACATGGAAAAATCCGGTCAACTTTAATTTAAGATTTCTCTAAAACCATAAATGCTTTTTTAATTTTTTTTATATTTAAATGTGTTTACATTTATTAGGGTTTCAACTTAATTTTAAGGAGCTTGATGGGCTGTTTGACAAAAGATCGAATTTTATAGCGGGTTCATGCCGCCATTTTGCAGATTTTCTCTTTTTTCATTTATTGGTGGCATTAATCCACTTTTTGGAAGTTCTTTTTATTTTTCGTTACTCCACCTGTCCTTACAAAGAACTCCTTTAATTATTGCCCCAAAATCTTCAATCTTGTGCTCTAATTTTTATCATTTAACATTTTTATCTTTGTGTCAACTAGAAATTTTTTAGAATAGTGAGAAGCAACATGATCTGGCCAAAAGACATAGGTATTTGTGTTTGCTCATAAATGGCTAAAGTCTTTTTTGGAGACATTCTTTGATGTAGAGATCGGCAAAGTCTTCTTTGCACAAAACAAGAGGATGTATACCACAGCTACATTGATTACCACTCAAGAAACTTGGATGCAAATTTTTCTCGTCAAATTTATTTAAATTGATTATCAAGAGGTTTATCTTTGTACTTATTGTAAAATTGTTGACCAGGAAGTTGTAAAAAATCCGCCTTGTAAGTTGTAAAAAAAGGTTCCATCATCTTCAATTATGCACATACTTTCATTTACCATTAATTTACAAACTTCTTTGCGCATTAAAAACTTTTAATTTCACCATTTAAGCTTCTCTTGGGTGTATTTTCTTATGAAAAGCTTTAATTCCAGCATTTATAAGTACTTTTTTGATAAAAAAAAGTCTTGAATTTTCCTGCTAGATCTCGCTGTGACTGGTTTGGATTTCTAGCTACTGAAATAAAAATTGACTTTTTTGGATTTACAGAAAGTTTTCTTTTTTCCACTTTCAGGTTTTCTTTCGAAGCTTTGGTTAGTCTTAAACTTATTTATAATATTTATGACTGTAGATTTTGGGACAATTGTACTTTAGCAATCAAGCAATATAAAATTGATATATGACTTTAGCAATAGGAGCTGGAGTGATTTAAATGTCAAACAATGGGTTAAGCTGTTAACTGGAATGGAAGGAAGAGTTGAATTAGAAGAAAAGTTGTTTGCAAATAGCTCTGCTTTATCCTTAGGAGAGATAATAAGATCAGTCCCATGAATGAGAGATGGAATGTTAAACCTAGGTTTGTTAAAGACGCTCTTGAAAATTTTCTAAAGGTCTCTAGAGCCTAACTTCTGAGATAAAATGCAAGATTTAGTGAAATGAGAATATTGGAGCATCAGACCTCATTATATTTCTTGCAATAACAAATAGCCCTTTGTTCTCAAGAAAGTTCTTTTTTTGAAAAAGATGAAAAAAATGATTATGATTAGGTATAGCAGCTGCACAAGAAGATAAAAACCATGGAGTAGAATGAGACTTGACTTGGAATTGACCAGAAAGAATGAAAGCTTCCATTCCTTCATGAATCCAGGACGTTACATAGAAGGCCCATTAAACAGCAGAGAGAAAAAAGACATCTGCTCAAGGACTGTCACAAAGAAAATCATGATAGGTATACCAGTCAGCATTAGTGTAGTAAGTAGTGCAGTGATCAGGTGAGTCAGATGAAGAGATAAAAGATTTATAGAGATTTATAGAGAATGTATAGAGAATGTATAAATGAACGTATAAATTAATGTATAAATGAATGTATAAACGAATGTATAAATGAATGTATAAACGAATGTATAAATGAATATATAAAAAAATGTGTAAATAAATTGGTACATAACCTTGATCTTTAAGGCATAGCAAACACTAGCAAATAATACAACAATAATAGTTTTTATTGTTGTATTATAATTCATGTTATTAAATAGTTAGAATTATAATAATAACATCTATTAAAATAGTTACCAAATATTCCTCAACAAACCTACCTGGCATCAATCACATTGAGCCTAATGGTAGCTAGATGTTGGACATTATGATCTATTGTTAAATGACTTGAAAGAGCTTGAGCTAAAAATGCATCAATATCATGCTTTGTAAGAACTACTTTTTCTTGTTGAACCAAATATCTAAACATAAATGTTTTTAACTAATGAATAATAATGTATAATAAATATTTAAATACTTAAATGTTTAAATTTTTTTTAATACATTTTTTGTTACAATTGTTGCAAATAAAATTTTAAATTAAAAAAAATATATTAAAATTATTACAATTAAGTTTATACAGGAGTATTTAAAATCAGACTTGTTACATGCTTCACCATAAGCAACAATTAATTGGTGAAATGATGTTAGAGGATATAAATTAAAAGTTTCATTTTTAATTTAAGATTAATATTACTTACAGTATAATCACCAACAGTTAATTTTTAATACTCACTATAAAATAAGAATTCAATTCTAAAATAAAGATATCGAATTACCAATAGGGTCAAAATAATGTCAATGGTCAAAATAAGGAGAGAGTTAAGAAATTTTTGTATATTCAGTTACCTGTATAAAAAATATGAAATTTTGTATATACAGTTTCCTGTATAAAAAATACGAAAACTTTATTTAAGAGTTCATAAAAAGTCATTGATTTTATCTACTTTTTGAAAAAGATCAATAACTTTAAATTGATTTTTATTTAAAACCAAAGATCACCTTAAACGACTTTTGATTACTCACTGGGTCCCATACATCACTGAAATTCTTTATATTAAAGTATATGAACTTGGGTTTCAAAAGAATTAGAAACCAATAGAGATTTCAGAAATTGTTTTTAATGAAAATCAATTCAAAAGAATTGTTTTTTTTTCAACAATAGATTAATGATTTTTTAGTTATATTCAAATCAAAGTTTTCAATACAGGAAACTAAGGATACAACAATATCATAACACAAATATATATATATATATATATATATATATATATATATATATATATATATATATATATATATATATATATATATAAATATATATATATATATATATATATATATATATATATATATATATATATATATATATATATATATATATATATATATATATATATATATATATATATATATATATATATACATACATACATATATATAGTGAATTGTCAGGCAATCAATAACATTTCGATCATCTCTTTTTATGGCTGACATACTAACTGCTGTAATTAAAAGATTCTATTGTGCATTAGATGGTGGCAGCAATGCAAGGGCTATTATATTGACATACTTAAATCTTTCCATAAAGTTTTGCATGCAGATCTTCTCCATAAGCTTGCTACAGTGTGTCTAAAAAAGTCTTTGAGATTGTCAAACCATTTCTTTCTAACTACTTCATTAAAGTCATTCTTGAAGGCCTATGCTCTTCTTTATTTCAGCAAATTCTGGGATATCTCAAGTTTTTTTGGTCCTGTTTTATTTCTTTTTACATCCTCTTGATAATCTTTACATCTAAAATGGCTCAATTTGTTGATGAATCAACTTTATACTCCTGTATGTTTTATAGTTTTGACAAAAAGTCTTCTCTTGTTGATCTCTTAGAACAGGCAGCTGATCTATCACCATCTGTCACTGCATATTCTATAAACTTTTGTCTTTTTTTTTCCCCACACTTCAACCCTTTGGAACTCTCTCCCATCTTTATGCTTTCCTGACTTAAAAGATCTATAATTTTTGAAGTCTTCTGTCAACTGTTTCCTGACTCATTAACTCTATTCTTTGTTTTCTAGTAATCCTTAACTTAATTGTGGTTGCTTGCAGCCTGGTTGACAGTAAATTAGGAAAAAAAAATTGTTTACATTTAAAAAGAATTGCTTATAAAATTTTGAATAACTTAAATCAGATTATTTTACATTCCAATATATCTTAAAACATATTGAACCAGATTGGCGTTTACACTAAAATCTAAAACTGCTGTGCCAGAAAAGTTAAATATGACAACATCTAACAAAGTTTTATCTCTCACATGCTGAAAATCAGATTTGTTTGTTGTACTTTTTTTTTTTGTACAAATAGGTTAAAGGGATCCTAAACTCTCAACAGATGTTGTATTCATATTAAAGATAATGTTAAAAAAAAGGTTTGAACCAAGTTTTTTTGATTCAAAATAAATAATGAAAGCATACCGAGAAAAACTAAAGTTGTTGTTTTAGTCGAAGTTCGACTTCTCCATTTTATTCAAAAACTTGGACTCTAAATTATACGTCGCAATCTACAGACTTCGGCGATTCCTTTGAAGCACTTATAATTCATAAGTTTTAGTATTTGACGCCACGGTAGACTTTTGATAAATGAAACTCTGGAAAAATTTTTATTTATTTTTATTCATAAATTTTTTCATTAATTGTTTAGTTATTTATTTTTTACTTAACATTTAAAAAGATATTAAAAACCTTAAATACTTTATGCTGGTTCGTTGCTATAAATTGTTATTGCACTATATTTAATGTTAATAAATGATGAAAATTTATTATCTCAATCAAAACTCTGATAAAAAATTGTTTTATATTAATTACCCGTATAAAATTAGTAACAGCATTTTTATTTGGTTAGACAATATTTCGTCTGAATTTACTTTGCGTGAATTTTGGGTAGTCAAATGAAAAAAAATATTCTGAATAATCACGTCGAAATAAATTTAAAACAAATTATTTTAATGACGGGGGTTCTAGAGTTTTTTTATAACAAATGTAGGTAAAAAATAAATAACTAAATAAAAGGTTCAACATTAAACATCCTTTTTTTATTAACTAAACTTACTTATTATTTAGAACGACTAAGCAATAAAAATAAAAAGCATTTACAACATTTTGACAATATAAGTTACCATCTTTCTTGAATTATTGCCATTAATTAATGTGTTAATTATTGCATTAATAATAATTTGTCCGTATTTTTATTAAATATTAGTTGTATGAAACTGGCAAAGAAACATACTTCATGTTTTTAATTTGATGGTTATAAAATATTGAACAGTAAACTTATAATCAAAATTTATAATGCCGACTTGTGCTGCTATTAATTGTACTTGTAATGCAAAACCAGGATCTCACATATCCTTTCACGAATTTTCATATCTAATACTACTGTCAACTGTATTGTTTAGTGTATTCTTGTTCTTTTTTTTTTCATAACCTTAATAGGTTCTAATTGGTATGGTAATGCAAAATAAAATGATATTTCTTTTTTTATCCAAATCCAATTCAGCAAACTTAGCAATTTATACTAAATCAGTGCAATCAAAAAAATTTTATAATAAAAAAAAAAAACCGTTCATTAAATATCTCTAATTAATACTGTCAGTTTATGAAAGGAATTGTTAATAAATACTTTTTTTCGAAAGGAAAACAAAAAATATTATTGCGTAAAAATGGCCAGAAAAGTTAGAAAATAGTTCCATTGTTTAAATAAAAATAAGTAAGATTTAGAATATATAATACTGCACTCTCTTGCACAAAAACGAGAGACAGTATATATAACATTCTATATAATGTAAAATACTCGTATGAAAATTATAAGATTGGTAAGTAAAGCTTTAATATTTGTTTTAATTTAAAAACAAAGGAAATATATATGAATAAATAAATATAGAAATATATATAAGATATATAATTCTAAAAATTATTAAGATATCTGTAAAAAATAAGTTGCTCCTATAAAATAAAAATAATTTATTATTTTTACTTTTTACAAAAGTTTGGAAAAATAATACAAAAAAAATTTGTTTTGCTGTATGTTAAAAAAATACTACACCGTACTTTTTGAATAGAAAAACGCAGCTTTATTTAATTACACTTTTCATTTATTAAAAGTCTACTGTGACGTCAAATACTAAAACTTTTATTTCAAAGGAACTGCCGAAATCTGTAGATTGCAACATAATTTAAAGACTCCGAGTTTTTGAATAAAATGGAGGTGAGCTTCGGCTAAAACAACAACATTAGTTTTTCTCGGTATGCATTCATTATTTATTTTTAATCAAAAAAACTTGGTTCAAACGTTTTTTTAACATAATCTTTAATATGAACACAACATGTGTTGAGAGTTTCGGATATTTAAAATATGCTTTAAGCTATAAAAAACTATGATATAAAGAAAAACAATTACCTTTTGTAAATTGTAAATAATGTACACAAATTCTTTTCAAGATGGTACACAAATTCTTTGCAAGATGGTACACAAATTCTTTGCAAGATTGAACAAAGAGAGACAACAAATAATGATATAGGAGTATATAAGAGAGATAACAAATAATGATATAGCTTTTGATTTCTAAAATTATTCTTACAATTTAAACTCTTGATCAAATATTCAAGGGAAAAGTAACAAGAGCAAGTTATTGTTACAAAAAGTGTTGATACTAAAACACCTAACCAAGTCTCAAATTAATTGAATAATGTTTAAAGGTTCTTGAATTTAAAAAAATTAAAATAAAAAATTTGAAAATATGAAATTGAAATTATGAAAAAAAATTTATTGATGGCTTATTAAGTCTAAAACAAAAAATAAAGAGAAAAGAAAAAAAATTAATTTTTTTCAGTATGATGTTTCTCTTGACAAGAGCCATGAGATTTTGCATTAGGTAAGATCTTCATAATCTTCTCATTACAATTCTTACTTATTATCTTAAGTTCCTCCTTAAACTTCTTACCCAACTTAGTTTTAATAATCATCCAATATTGCTCAATTAGACAAAGTTCTAGACAACTTGCAGGATTGTGTGTTTTAGGGATGAAATTGATACTATTGGCACTTTAGAAGTTTAACTTAAATTTGGACAATAGGCTAGGCTAAAAAATTGTATTACCATTATTGGAATCCCAGTCACAATAAGCCCTTTGTAAGGCACTCTTTTTGTTAATAGTGAAATTTAATTTCACATAAGTTTTATTACCCATAATTATACTTTTTTTTTTAACACAATAATTTGTAAAATTTTCTTGCAACAAAATTTTCTTCAGCATTACAATCTGTTGCTTTTTATATCTTGAAGAACTTGATTTTTTTTAAAACTTTTTCTTTATTGTCTGGACCTTTTGTCTGCATATTTGTGCAGACAAAAAGTCTAGACACAGTATCCTTAGAACATCTATGTATTTGTATTTCAGTTAAAATATTCAAAATGATAACAAAACAGAAGTAAGTACGTGATGCAACTTTGCACTGTCAAGTAGAAAATTCTAACTTGCTTCTCAAATTAATAAAAACTGTTAAATTCTCTTTTTTTCTATAAAATTTTGTAAACAAATTTATTATATTAAAACATTTATATTCAACTTTAATTGCAAACAGCCTACAGTTTTAACTGAAATGATTAGACTCAAAACTATTATATTACTTATAAATGCAAAACATGCATGCCAGCAACACACTAAAAATCAAGCTTTGCGAGAGTAATAAACAAAAAAAAAAAATTTTTATGATCACCTTGAGTTTTGCAAAAAACACGAGGACTGTTAAAATGTGCCAACATGTCAGATAAAGTGCAAAAAAAGCAGTTTGTAGCACACAAAGCCAATGTATGCTGGTCAAAAAACTTAAACTTCAATCCCCAATACATTGCACTTTCTATTAAACATTTTGATTTTGTGTGCAATCACTGCCAAAGATTGTGTTGAATTACACTTTTTACAACAAGGTGAGGCAGTCAGTTCTGCAAGTTATTTAGAAATTTCAACAACAATGTGTTTAACTGATTTGAAATAAAAAGTTTGATATTTTCATGCACAATGTGCCCTATCGCAGGACAATTCATTTAGTTTAAACTTAATAAAAAATTGTAGAGTAAAATTGAAGGCAGAAGTTTATAAAGATAACCCAAACTCACTAGCAGATCTGTAATACCTGACCACTGCAAGTCCCTTTTTGCTTCAAAACTGTGATGAATAGAAGTTTGAAGAGCTCATACAAAGTACTAAAACTTCTTTATTATTTTATGTTCACATATATTGTTTGAGTTAAAATATTTTCTTGTGATTAATTAACAAAGTATGCACATGAATGTTTTAATTCTAAAATACAACTAAAGCTTAAATTATTTTATGCGTGAAAAGAGTTCTCATAATATAGTAATTAGACACATATGAAAAATAAAATGAACTATTTTTTGCAGTTTAATATGTGTGAAAGACTTTTTTATGCTCAATGACTACCAGAGCATATTTTGCTAATTCATTTTAAAATTAGTCTTAGAAACTGTCAGCTATTCAAATGTATTTTTTTTTTTTTGCCTACCAGACCAGTATTTTAAAAAAAGTTTTGAGGATATGCAATATTTAATAAGCTACATTTATTTCTTTTACTAATTTGATTACTTATACTTAAATTCTTTATTCATTTCATTATCTTTATTAACATTATAAACATCAATATCAACAATGTTGATATTAATGTTTATAACCTATGGATTTTGGATGTAATATATTTATATAATATAATTACAATATAGATTTTAAATTTAAACTGGACTTTAAATTTAAATCTTTCAACATCAAGCAAATGATTACAAAAATGACCATAAATAGAAAGATGTTTAAAAAAAACTGTTAATTATGCACTTGAAAATTTTTTTAATTAAGCAAAAGTTGTTAATTATGCAGTAATAGTTAATTTTAAAATATCAAACGATATTTTGAAATGTATTTGAAATTTACTATTACTGCATAATTTGATATATAAAATAAGATTAATTAAAAATTAACAACTTTATTCTGAAATAAAATACTGTGTAAATTTTTATGCACAATACTAATGCATTCAGTTGAATTTTAAAATAGCATTTAAATCAAAATACGGTAATAGTTTCATTTATGTAATCAACATTTTGATTTTAATAAACCAAAATGTTAATTCTGATTTATGAAAATCTTATTAAAAATGTTTGATTGTTTGAATGCTATTTTATGTTTTGCAAGCTAATCTTTTAAAACAAAAAAATGTTTAACCTTAACACACAGCATAAAATTATTAATCTCTGAGGAACCATGCTTGTATTAGACATATTAACAGTATCACTTCGCATACAAGATAAGAAAGCTTTTAAACGATTAGAGTTGTCTTCAACATCTGTACCTAACCAAAGTTTTCTTAGTGGTGGTATTTTCCAATTCATGCCTAAATAAAGTCGAAAAACTTATATTAATGAAATTAAGTCAAAAAACTTATATTTATGAAATTCATTCAAAAATAAAATCAAAAAACTTTTGACTTAATTTCATAAAATGTAAGGAAAAAAATTGACTCATCTTAACAAAATTTTTATGGGTTAAAGAAGACTTTTCGGGTAATGATTATAATAATTTGTAAGTTAGATTTTTTAATTTTGAGTTAATAATAGGCCTAATCTAACTTTTATGACAAAAAAAAAAAAAAAAAAAAATTATACATCATAAATTAAATACATATAATAAAATAATAAAAGTTTAATAAAACAAGTGATTAATAGTATAGATGTATATTTTAAAAATGATTTTAAAAAATAAATCATAAATACCTTTTGCTTCAACTTCATCTGGTTTATCTAAAGGCTTATCTCCATATACAGACCACTCTTTAACAGTAAAACTGCTTAGACGTGCCTCTTTATCACTGTTTTCAGTTTTATTTTCCAAAGGCTTTTCATGGTCTTCAATCTGTTTTACACCAAATAAAATACCATAAACAAGCTGTCGTAAGGGTCGATAAAGTAAAGGTATTGCCAAACGCGAAGTTGAAAGCTCATCATCGACACCCATATCTAATATTATTTCGCCTTTTGTGAGAAGCTGCAGAATCTCTGGACACATCTGTCCATTTTGATGACGTGTCAATGCAACATTCAACACATCTATATTTATTGATTCATGCAAACGAGTAACAGTGATATCTATTTTAAAAATAAAACTGGGTGTACACTAGCAACTTAAATGTGCAAATCTTTGTCACACATTATCCCCTCTACAAATTTGTTTAGTTTTCTAAGAAATATAAATAAAATTTAATATAAACATATTTATATAAACATAAATACCATTTGTAAAAAACCAAAAATATCTTTACAACATGAAAATCAAAGTTTAAAAATGCTATAAAAAAAACTAGCTTAAGAACAAAACTTACTTTAAATGTGTTTGAATATAAACTATTTGTTTGAACCTTATTAAAATCATCCACTTTTATGCCAAGAATACTTCAGTGATAGTTAAACATTAATTTCCTTCTTTTTAACAGAATCATTTAAAACATTGATTTTTCTCTTGAAAGCTCTAACTTATAGTTATGTGATAGAATCTTTAAGCTGTCTGCTTATTTTATTTAAACAAGACTACAAAAATAATAAATTTGAGAAACTAAATATGGATTTTCAACTGAGATATATTGTTTAAGAAACTTCAACGCAAAATTACTCCATTATAAGATATCAACTGAGACTATTGTTTAAGAAACTTCAACCCAAAATTACTCCAAGCAATGAGCAACACGCTTAAGGCAATTTGATTTACAACTTTTAGCACACAAATCTGCCCTCCATCTGTTAGAATAACTACAAAACACTCAAACAAGATTTTTTCAAAAAGCCTTTTAATGCTTCCTTGACAACAACAAAACCTTGACAACAAAATGAGTACTATCCTTTTTAGATTTAACTTCTTCCCTGCAGCTAGGTCAAAGTCAACTAATAGAATTTACTCCTAGAAGTCAACTAATAGAATTTACTCCTAGAATTACTAATAGAATTTACTCCTAATAGAAGTCAACTAATAGAATTTACTCCTAGAGGCCACAATAAACTTCTGTTGCCTAAATGAATTCAAAAACCACATCAACAAAAAGGTTGGTCAATGCTAGAATCTTAATCACTAAAATGCTGCAACAGGATTTTGATGCTTCGTTAAGATTCACACACATTTAGTATAAATTATTTTTTAATTAAATCTAAACACATTTTTAAAAGACCCAATAAAAAGATACAATAAAATGATACAATACTAGTAGAAATAATTAACAATATTTGTCACTATTTTTTAAAAGTACTTTTTACCTCTGGGATAATGGAGAATAGTGCTTTTAACTTTGTTTTCAGAAGGTTGAAACATTTCTGTAGCATCTTTGAATTTGTTTGTTACAACTGGTTGTTTGTTTGAACTTTCTTCAGACTAAGAAATTAAAAATAAACAAAGAAATAAAAGTAAACATGAATACCTAACACAAAGTACTTGTGTAGAATAAGGGAGGTGAACTTTCTGATTCCACATACATGTCTACTTACTTAGATTTACGGACTGATAATATATCGACTGATATTTTTAAATACCAATTTTTTACTATCTATTTATTTCGGGTTTATGAACAGAATTTTATTTTTTCACATAATTTGTATATAAAATTTATAAAAATAAGATTTATTTAAAACTAGTAATAAATGAAATGATTTATTTAAAACAAGTAATAAATGAAATTTTTTTGAAATTTTCTTAATTTTGGCCTTTTGATTAATACCTACTGTTTCTTGGTTAATTGATGGACTTCTTATGAACACTTTTGAATACTGGCATGTATGCAAGCTTATTTTTATTTCATTTATTTCCATTATCTAGTTAAGCATTTAAAATAATTAAAATAATTTAAGAGAGAACTAAGTGTAAAATGCAGCAGCAGAGTATGTTGTCCCATGATTTAAGATATGCAATGTATATACTGGCATATGAGATAGTGGATGTATGTATTAAAGCCCCCAATGGCAGGGAATTTCAGTGTGGTCACAGGGCTTATCTAAACATGAATTTATTGTTACATATGCATATGCATATATATATATATATATATATATATATATATATATATATATATATATATATATATATATATATATATATTTGAATAAAACTAATAACACTTTTCAAATATTTGTTATACATGTTTCAAACTTTTTTTTTTTTTTAACAACTTCGCTTCCAACAAGGCTGCAAGCAACCACTAATTATCGTTGGAAGTTACTGGAAGAGAAAAGATGAAGATTGTAGAGCAAGATAACGATTGACAGACGACCTAGAAGATTGCATATTATATGAATAAGGAAAGCAAGATAAAGGAAGCGCAAGTTATATGAATCAGGAAAGCAAGATGAAGGCTGCAAGAGTAGGTCCAACTATGTTTACAATGTGTTTTTGCACCTTGTCTAAAAGAGAAAGGGCATCATTAGAAGATCGACCCCAGATATGGCAACAGTATTCCATACAAGGCCGGATTTGAGATTTATAGAGATAGAGAATAGAATCTAGAGTAAGAAAGTGACGAGCTCGATAAAGAGAAGCGACTTTAGCAGATGCTAATTTTGCAACAGATTTGATGTAAGGTTCCCAAGAAAGATCTGAAGTAAGAGTTAATCCTAGAAGATGAAGGGTAGGAGACTCATCGAGTACATTACCGTTCATAAATATAGAAAGGTCTAAATTATTGCGATAACGATTGGCTGAAAAAAATTGAGTTTTATCTGAATTAAAGTTCACCAGCCACCGTGAGCCCCATGCTGTAGCAGAAGTGAGATCCTTTTCAAGCTCAGATGCCCCTGCAAGCATTCAGAGGGAGTTGGCTTCTTATCGTGACAAGAATAAATGGTAGTATCATCAGCGAACAATGCCACCTTAGATGTGAGAAAATCTGGAAGATCGTTAATGTAAATTAAAAAGAGTATAGGGCCAAGGATTGAACCTTGAGGAACCCCTGAGGTTACAGAATAAGAGGAGGAGTGCTGTCAATCGAGGACAACTTTTATACTACGATTGGAAAGGAAGGATTCGATAATCTTAAAGATATTTCCAAATACACTGTAAGAAAAAAGCTTATGGAGAAGACCAGCATGCCAAACTTTATCAAACGCCTTAGAAATGTCAAGAGCGATGGCCTTAACCTCTCCACCTTTATCTAATGAGCGATAAAACCTATCGGTTATTACTGTTAGCAAATCAGCCGTAGAACGAGAAGATCAAAATCCATATTGATGATCAGAAAGTAGGTTATGAGATTCGAGATGAGAGATTAAGTGTTTGTTAATTAGGATAGACGACAGCTCCGGAGAACACTTCTGCAAGACTATAATAGGTATGTTGTCCGGGCTGCAAGCTGTAGAAGAGTCTAAGCAGGAAATCACTTTAGATACAGAAGCTGGAGTGATACGGATGTTGAGCAGTGGATCAACCTGTTTGACGGCTATATCAGGTAGAATGCAACTAGTGGAGTCCAGAGATGATATTGATGAAAAGTTCTTGGCAAACAATTCAGCTTTATCTTTAGGTGAGGTGACAAAGTCTAAACCGTACAAAAAAGGTGGAATTACAGACTTGTCCTTATTATTGATACTATTAAAGATTCTCCAGAAGTCACGAGAGCCTAATTTTTTATTTAAAGAACTACATAGTTCAACTACATAGTTCAATTTAAAGAACTACATAGTTCATTATCAATAAAATTTAAAAAGATCATTTAAAAACCATTTTTATAAGGGATACAAATTAATTACTTTATTACAAAAATCTATTATAAAATTCATTACAAAGGATTAAAAAGACCATTAAAATACAATAACAAAATGTGTCAGTCTCAAAACTCAGTTAAAAAAACATAATAGGTACAAATAGTTAAAAAAAAAAATTTCATAAAATCAACGTTATAATAGTCATAACAGTTCAAGAATTCTATGTTTGACTTATTTATTTAAACAGGGCCTTTGCCACTTTATATGCAAACTTTCATAATATTTACCACAAAACAAAAAATTAGAAGTTGTTTTAAAATTAATAATATCTGGTTTGGTTACCATAACGATATTATTAACTTAAAAACAGTCTTATTAAAAAAACAGTATCCAATTAAACTTAATAATAAATGTAAAAACAACTATTTAAATAAAAAATTTGTTACATCTAAGGGGGCCAGAGCTAGTGGGGACCCAAGCTAGTGGGTGGCTCCAAAAAAGGTCGATCATGTTATTTAATTTCTTAAACATTATTTGATAGTACTTGCATAACATTTTAAAAATGAAATTTATAAAATAAACAGAAAGCGACTTAGGGCCTTCACTTAGGACCTCCCAACTCTTAGATTTAAGGCCTTAGACAATAAGGGCCTTTATTTTTTACAATTCGTCACTGATTGCATAACATAATTCAATGTAATTAATAAAGTTATATATCCAATCAAAAGCATAAGTATGTAATTTAATACAAAACAGCTGTACGGTAAAAATAAAGTTATATAAAAAGATAACTAGTAAGCTTATTCATTTTAATTCATATGAATCCAAATAAATACTTATTAATTTATATATTAACTTGGTAAAAAAGTTTTTTATTCACTGCAGAGCTTTGGAGCCTTTTTATAACTTACTTTATTAATAACTGTTTACCGCCTGAAAAGTCTAGTTTTGTTGTCAAACATTAGAAGTTATTTTATTTTAAAGCATGTTAATTACTTTCAAAATATCATTTGTCAAAGCAAATTCATTTTATTTAAGCTTTATTAACTTATTGAATCACAATATTGTGTGGTGTAGTGGTTAATAAATTTGATCATGGTGACTACGCTCCAGGGTTCAATTCCTATTTGATTTTTTTTTTGTTTTTCAATATTTTTTTATTAACTAATTGATGCAAATATATTATTAATAATGAATATTAATATAATAAAAGACACGTTGTCAAGGCAGTTAATAAATAGTTAAGTAATTTAGTTAAATAACATGTGTAAAATGTCATGCTTTTGAAGGAAAACATTATTGTTAATGCACTTGAGTCCCTAATAAAAATAAAAAAAAGGCGATGGGGGAGGGGGGGAGAGAAATAAAAGGAGGGGGTGGAAATTTTTAGTATAGATCTAATAAACAGGGGGTTTTAATAAAAGGGGGAGGGGAATGTTTTTATAATACATTATTTTTTATAAAAAATGTTAACTTTATAAATCCGAACTAATATTTTTTACAAAATACGCTCAAAACTATTTAATTCTAGCGTGGCTAGAATTAAATAGTTTTGAAAAAAAAATTGTTTTTCATTTTTTAAATTATGGTATTTTTAAACTTTATGGTATTTCTATTTATATAAAAATTTATTAGTTAAATTTTTTTTCTTTAATTTTACAAGATAAATGCAAAAATTTGAAATAATCTTACTTCAACATTAACCTTAGTTTCATTTAACTCCAACAATTCCAAAGCTTGAGCTGCTTCTTCAAGAGTACCCTGCTTTAGTACGTGTTCAGTGTCGTTTAATGAATTCTCATTGTTGTTGGTTGTTACCTAGATAGTTACTCACTTAAATAAGAATTACAAATAGCTATTAACAAAAAGCTATTTATTAATGACCAATTAATTTGCGATTATTAAATTCATTTGTTCAATATATTTATATAAACATGCCAATAATTATAAAGAATGTATATAAATAATATAAATATATTTACCCAATATATAAAACTTATTAATATTAAACATATTTAAATAAGTCAATAATATTTGCATAAAATATTTTTGATTCACATGATTATGTAAATATTCTTGATCAATTCAATCTATGAAAACAATTTATAAAAAGATTTCATTCCAGGATAACTTAATGCATTTTTAATTTTTGAAATACAAACATAATTCGAAAAAATACAATACAATTATTTGTGCTTAAGGTTAGAAAAAAAGACAAAATACAGATATTTGTACTTTAGGTTAGGAAAAAATACAAATACAAATATTTGTACTATAAGTTAGGAAAAAATGTAAAAAATTTATTAAAACAAGACTGATAAAATGTTTTACTAAATAGAATAATGAAAACAAGTCTTTTAAGAAACATTCTTTAAAAACTTAGTGGTATTTCCAAAAAAATCCAGTTTACCTAGTTTATGGAATTGCAAACAAATTCAAATATTTAAGAAATATTTCAAATACAAATATGCTCTTTATATTAAAATAGCCTATTTTTACCATATACAAAAAAAATTCAAATACAAAATTTGACCCCAACCCTGACTATAATCAAACTTTGCTGGCTTTGCTGTAGTCTGTGGTAAAGCCAGTTTTTAATAAAAGATTAAAATCAAGTAATTTAAAACCAGGACCAACATTTATTGGTCTACAGGATGCATCAAAGTACAATTCACTTCTACTAAAAAATGGGGAAAATTATCACATGCAAATTTTCATCAATTTAATGAAAGTAGAAACAGAGACTAGTTCAATAACTTTGACTCTATTTCCCTATTTCAATATGACGTCCAAGGCAATCAGGTTGTTAGATTTAAAAAAAAAAAATTTAGGCAAACCAGTACTTTACAGTTTAATTTTTTGTATGCATGTGTGAGTGTGTGTTTATATTTACAGCCCTCAGAATTAGGGTTGGCATTCAGCAATGCCAATCTAACTACCATCCTCAGTGTTTGAGGTTGGCATAAAAATTGACGACTTTATTTTTATGTTTTATAGTAACCTCTTTGTGTCAAATTTTTTTTGCTGACTTGACGCCGACCTTTACCAGTTTGAAGTGTGTGTGTGTGTGTGTGTGTGTGTGTGTGTGTATATATATATACACAGTAGAATCCTGTCAAGTCGGACTTTTACTAAATCTGACTAATTTTCAATTCCCTTTGAATTCTCTATACATACCAAAAGCTTCACTTAATTCTGACATTTGCTAAGTCGGACAAAATATATATACCCATTCATAGTCCGAGTTAACGGGAATCTGCTGTATTTATATATAATTATTGACTTATATGAAAAAAACTTATGTAAAAGCTATTTATAACAATCATAATTGTTATAAAGAAATCTAATTATTTATTTGATTGAATATAGAAACCAAAAAAAAATTTATAAATAACTTTAATTTGAAAAATGTCTTTAAAAATCCAAGTTCATTTATCAATGTAAAAGCTTTGTTGATTTGTTATTAATAGGAGCTTTAATTTTCCAAATATGGTACTGTGTATAGATTGGTATTTATTAGTTGTGTACAACTTATTGATATTAGTAATGATTCAATAGACAGGGTGGCCAGCTAAAAGTTAATTCAAATTTCCAGGACTTTTCAAAGAAAATTTTGGGTTTTTTAAGGGTATGTTGATCTTTTCTCAACCAGAAAAAAAAAAATGTTGATTTCTAAAAAGTGTGAAAATGAAAAATAACTAAATAATTAGTAAATGTAAATAATACTGATAGTAACATTAAACAAAAAACATTTGATAATTATACATTTGTAAAATGCAAAAAAAAGTTTTTTTTGCATTGCAGAAAATAAAAATTCATCTAATTCAGTACAAACCTCTGCAAAATTAATAATAAGTCTGTAAAAGATAAAAACATGATAACATATTGAACAATTTCAGAAAAAAGTTCCAGGATTTCCAGGAAGTTTTGCTAAAGAGAGTGTTTTTCCATGACCTATCAAACACCAGGACTTTTCCAGGTTTTCAAGGACCGCTAGCCACCCTGTTAGAGCATAAATTTCATGGTTTAGTTAGTAAGTTATACTATTTACAACATGTGCCTGTTCTTTTTAATAATAAAAAATATCTTTTATTAAAAATTTCTTTTGACAATAAAAATGTCTTATGATGCATTATGGTACAAAAACTTAAATAATAGAAGCAGAATTAATTGAAACATCAAAACTAAAAAGCTCAAATAAAAAAAAAAACTTATGAGTACAAACGACAAAAATTTACTTAAATAACTATAAAGATTGCTTGAGCAACTGCAATTTGCTGTTTCAGCTTGGTCTTCAAATTTACAAGAAATCTATGCTTTGGAAAAAGTGAAGCAACCACAAGAAGTTTATTATTGTTAGAAAAAGTGAAGCAACCACAAGAAGTTTTTCATTGTTAGCATAGTTGGACCTGCTGTATCTGCCAAGCTTAAGTCTCTCTCCTGTCTTCGTAAAGTTGCATCTCTTTCTTTTTCCTACAAATACTATTATGAATGCTGCTAAAAGGAGCTATCAATTCTAGTTTCATTAACTAAATATCATTCTTGTTTGACTCTTCATTCAACAAAATCTTATTTATTTACTCTATCTGTCCCAGCCTGCTATAAAAATTTTATTTGTCAAGTTTTTTTCAACTCCTAACTTAGTAGTGGTTGCTTGCATCCTTGTTGGGGGTGAATCAAAATAAAAAAAAAATAATAATATATATATTTTTATGAAATATATATAATAAATATATATATTTTTATATATATGTAGGCCTTGGCAGCAATAAATAAGTGCTCGATTTGTAAACCTGCCTAAGCAGATATGTCAGGCAATGCAAGCGGTAAGCTTTTATGCCGCATTTTTTTTATATTTAGATAAAAAAGCTCATGGATTAATTACATTTTAGTAGTTCTTTAAGTTTTACACTGTAATATTTTTTAGTAAATACATCAGAAAAACAATCACGAGGAATGGTAAATTATTTTCTGATATTTATTTATTCAACTATTTCAAAGTTTTCTAGAGAATTTTTTAAAAACAAATTTGCATTTGAACAAATTTGTTCAAAAATTTGCTTAAAAATTTATTAAAAAATATTTGATTACTTTTTAATCGAAATGATTCATTATTTTATAAATATTATTTTGTGTCGCATTTTTTACTTCCATATTTAAAATATTCTTTTGTTACTCTCCTACTTGGTAAATTTTATTTTTTTATTTGAAAAGTTTAAAAATTGAATTAAAATAAGTAAGCAAGTAATAATAAGAGAAGACTTGATCAAAACTTGAATGAATGAGTTCAATACTTTAAAAGTTGTTTTTGATTCATGAAATTAAAATTTAAAAAAACAAATTTTTATTACTGTTTATTGACAAAAAATTTAATCTAAGTTATAAGCCTTTATTATCGTTAAATAATTTATTTACTTTGTTATTATTTTCACTTTGATTAAGTATTTAGATTCTAAAAGTTAAAGAAGTTTTAAAACTATTTTTATTTATGTAGTTAAAATACGACTTTACCTAAAAAACATTTTTTGCTGTTCAAAAAAAAATTGTATATTTGCAAGAGCTATATTTATATATAAATATATATATACATATATATATATATATATATATATATATATATATATATATATATATATATATATATATATATATATATATATATATATATATATATATTTAATATGAAATTAAATGAAAACAAATAATATAAACCTATAGATATATAAAAAAATGTTCAATGAAATATTATAAATACATAATTTATTATATAACAAATAAAGTAATCTAAATATATGTATACTATTTAAGTTTAACTAACATGATTCTCTGGTTCTGACTTTTGTTTATCAGGTACCTTCCAAAGTTTTTTAAACCTGCTTGAACAATTAGTGCCTTCGATAGGAAGAGGAAAACCAGCTTTAGTAAACAAATCATTTCCTAGTGAATAAGAAAACAAAAATCAACTATACCATTAACAATATATCTTTGTCATCATCGATAAAAAAAAAAAGTTTAAATAATTTTAAACAAATGAACAGCACAGACATTTTTAATCAAAATAAATTAGTTTTTAATAAAGGTTGCTAATATTCATTAGAAATTTTAATACCTTTTTTATTACTTAACAAACTTTATATATTTTTTTTTCCTTGTTTTTAATAACAATTATTTAAATGATGATGATTAAGGATGATGATGATGATGATGATGATGATGATGATGATGATGATGATGATGATGATGATGATGATAATGATGATGATGATGATGATGATGATGATGATGATGATGATGATGATGAATGTGATGATGATGATGATGATGATGATGATGATGATGATGATGATGATGATGATGATGATGATGATGATGATGATGATGATGATGATGATGATGATACGGATGAGCAGTAATGCAACTAAAATATTTTCTATCGCAAAGCGCTTGTTCGGTAAAGCATCTCTTGTTCGTTATAGCAACTTTTTTGTTCCCTATTGAAACTCTGTGTTCGGTTTTGCAACTTGAATAATTTTGTTATTTTTTATTAAGTGGTTATGTCATCAGCCGGCACAAAAACCTTTAGTTCAAAGTGTCAGTTAGGCAGACAAAAATTTGTTTGGCAAGTGAAGTAAAATATATTGATATTAAAACAAAATTGTATTTTTAGGAAGTAAATTTATGGAAATCTAATATATATCAGTAGCCTAAACAATAACACACGTGTTTAAAGTTGTAAAATTTTTTACCTAATTTTTATTTACAAAATTAAGATGAAAAAAACATTAAAAGCATAAATATTTTTTTGAGTACAATAAATTTTGAAGTTTATTCAACTTTACAAACCAATTTTTGGTATACCTAAAGGGTATGAGCTGGCTTGAATCAAAGTGGTGTATACCGATTTCTAGTTAATAACTGAGTAAAAGTTTATTTAAACCACTCTGATTCTAGATAACTAGAACCTAATCAACATCTACTTTTCACCTAAATTTTCGTCTAAATTTTCACCTAAATTTTCACCTAAATTTTCATCTAAAATTCACCTAAAACATTAATAATTTAACAAGCTTATAATAATATTAATAATAATATACTATATGCTAATTATAATATTATGATATATATTATCAAAAAGTTTACGGTAAATTTAAAACAGATATGATATTATTGCATCAGTTGCTATCTTCTTAAATACAAATAATTAATTAAAAAAAAAAATTTTCTCTTCTATTATTTTTATGTGTATTTAAGTAATATGTCTGACGAAAACTTTTAATCGTACTCCAACATTATCATCTTTTGTTTCTTCAAAAGATAATGATGCTTATTACACAATTAAAAGACACTAAATAGTTTAACCATATTTACAATAGTTTAGTCTAAATGTTACTAAAGTCAATTTATTTGGCAAGTTTAATCAAAACTATTTAATAAAGTTAGTTTAAAATTTTTAAAGTTTCTCAAATATATTCCAAACTGCTGAATTAATTTCAAACAAATGTGCAGGGTGTGCAAGCTCAATTAAGTTTCAAATGTTAAAGCAACTTTATTTTTTATTAAAACCTGATAAAAAAGATAAATGTCGATATTCTTGTAATGTATTTCATATCTTTTTCAAAGTTGTTTACACAAGTATTTACACATTTAGTTAGGCATTGTCTATATATTTTGCAATTCAAAGTTTATTTTAAAAACAGAAGTAGATAATATTTAACTCTTTTACGTGACAGTTTTCATCAAACTCGATGCTCTAGTTTAATTTTTTATTTAACTCTCTGGTGAGAAAAAACTTTTGATCTCTTTTGTTTAGATTATTAGTGAAAATTAGTGTTGCATAATTTATGGACAATACCTAATCAAATCCACTCTTATACCAAAGAAATTCTACTTTAATTTTTGCTTTTTCTATTCTTTAGTTCTAGAAATTCATAGAAAACACGACTATTTTACCTAGCTTTTAAATTATTAATTAGTTTTAAATTATTAATTAGTTTTTAGACTTGTCCTAAAATTTGGTTAAAACTATGATATTTACAACAATTAAAATTTTATTGTAGTAAAAAAAATTTTATCTCACAATCAAATATGTAGTATGCAGAATTTAAAAAAAAAGACTAGAAGTAAAGAGATATTTAAGTTTTTTATCTTCCGTCTTCTTGGGGAAAATAAAAAACTAAATTCCATGAAGTGTTCTTTAAAGTACTTTCAATTTGTTAATAAGTTCAAATTTTTAAAAATTATTTATAAATTTTATTTCTTATTTTTTAAGGAAAAAGATGGGTGTTTTTAAGCTACTGGATCATACTTTTGAAATACCTCGCTCTAGTGATATCAGCATCTGAAGCCTTGCAACACCATATTTTTCAATAATATCTAACTCAATACTACATTGTGTGCAAAAATGCGCATTTGAATACAACTAAAATGTGTCATTTCTCAGAAAAATTTTAAAATGCTTATTTAAATTTTTCTAAATAAAGGCATGTACTTTTATAATGCTTTGAGTCATACTAGTAGATTTGTTATCAAAACAACATTAAAGTTTAAAAATCAATCATCAACAATCACAACACAAACTAATTTGCATGGTTTTAAAAACTATATCAATTTGATCCTGCATATTTGTACAAAAATATCATAAGGTTTTATAGTTTATTTTGCTCTTATTGCATTTATATTTTTGCGTATATAATATTCATATTTTGTATTTATACAATATTATTTTTATATATAAATTCATAATTTATATGTATAAATTTTTTATATTTTATATCTTTATATCATGGATACGGAATCCCAAAAAAGGACTCCGGAGTTAAAGGTTGTGACCTTTTCATTCTACTGATGTTTCAGTATTTTGTATTTTTTAACGTTTTTTTTTTCTTGATTTGTATAATATATATGGCTGAAAATTGCTAATAGGCATGAAACTTTTAGTTCCAGTATAAAGTTGTATTTTTCTATTTAATTATACTTGATATATATATGTGTGTGTGTATATATATATATATATATATATATATATATATATATATATATATATATATATATATATATATATATATATATATATATATATATATATATATATATATATATATATATATGTATATATATATATATATATATATATATATATATATATATATATATATATATATATATTATTTATAAATAAAACTGCATATTTTTCACAAATATAAGTTTCATGCTAAATGCAATCATCAGGTGTAAATATGTTTTTTTTTCTTTTGAAAAAATAATAAATCTGTAAAAAAGAAAATGAGTTAAAAAAATCTAATCTTCTGGTTTGGGCTTGTCCAGCAAAAACTTGTTCTCGTGGCGACATTTAGATATTAGTTCATTTTTTTTGTTTAATAATTCTTGAGGATTTTTATATAATAAAATAATTAGTTTTTTGTATAAGCATAACAAGCATTGTTTGGTTATGTTGTTGTAGGTGGGGGCTTTTTATGATAGACCATTTTAAATTAGGTGTTGCTTTTGATTTATTTTGTGTATCCTATAGATATTTTGAAAGCGTGGTTGCATTTGTGAGTTTTTTATTTTTGAAGGATTGCTTGTGATTCGCCTATCTAATTTTCCACATGCCCTCTGTTGAACCAATGTATGTTTTGTCGGCTGTGTTTGGGAATGATGCAATTCACTTATAAATTACATTTGTTTCTCTGCAATTTCCATTCATAGGGCAGATTTTGCTTAGTTTACAATTGCAAGCTAAAGTGGCCGTTGGGTTCATCGAAATAATTTTATTGTTGTGGTTCTTTATAATTTTTGCTATGTTGCTTGTACAGATGTAGCTAACTTTTGTTGTGTTACGGTTAAATAGTTTATGAAGCGGATTTGGTTTTGGAAAGTGTTTGTCGATTAATTGTAAGGAGGTTTTGCCTATATTTGTGAGAACTTTTTTATTGTATGGTGGGTATATATATATATATATATATATATATATATATATATATATATATATATATATATATATATATATATATATATATATATATATATATATATAATAACAAAAATATATATATATATATATATATATATATATATATATATATATATATATATATATATATATATATATATATATATATAATATCAAAAATCTATATACTATATTCTTTATTAACAAGTATAATCCATTCACTTTAAAAAATTTTTCTAGATAAATAAAAAAAAAAAGAAGAAGAAATTAAGGAGAACAGTCAAAATTTAACTTTTTTTAAGGTTATTTAAGGACATTTAAGGAGGTTTATATATATATATATATAATATATATATATATATATATATATATATATATATATATATATATATATATATATATATATATATATATATATATATATATATATATATATATGCATGTTTTATAATAGCTTTTTTAAAGCATTAGGCTGCGGGCAATTTACATACACGTTACGATGCCTAGAGCTATTTCCATTAAGCAACTTTTTATTATTTTTAACTTTTCAATTATTCTATAAGCAGTGAGATAAATAAAGTAATTAACTTTATAAAAAACAACTTTTGAATGACAATTATGTAAAAAAAAGTTTGTTACAAAAGTTTGAATGACAATTATGTTAGATGTAAGCACTATTTACTAATAAAAAAAACTCCACCAAAATTAAAAACTATGAAAACCTAAACTATATCGAAATATTTAGCAACAGAAAACAAAACTGTTTATAGTTAACAATATTTTTTTATAAGACAGAACTTAAAAAAAAAACATAAAAGAAATATATTTAATAAAAACTTTTATTTATTATCTTGCGAGCACAAAAATATTTATGCAACTTTTGATTGCAATTGAAAAAATTTACTTAAATGTCTATATAATAATAAATAGTTAATAACTAATTTTTATTCTTTTTATTATAATGGTCAATTTTTTCGCTTCAAAAAAGCTAATACTTCAGGCTTGAAGCAAAGATCATTATAATATAATTTAATTCTGATAAAAAAATATATGATATAATTCAAAACTAATATAAAAAAAACATAATTTTTATAATTTTTATCACTTAGTACAGGCAGCTGATTTCACTTTGTGATCTAATCTCACTACTGTAACAGATTGGAGTTTTGTTGGAGTTAAAATTCACAAGCCATTGCAAATTGTGAATTTTAACTCAGTTATTAAAACTGCAACAAAACTTGCAAACCACTATTGCAAAGCTGTCCACATTCTTATATTGATGAATGGCAACCCTCTAAGAGTCCTCTTTTTTACGTCTTCTTGGATTATTGTTCATTATTGACCTCTCATGGAAACTATATATACAATCAACTGCTTAAAAAAAATTCAAAAGTTAACATCTGCTAAGGTTGCTTCTCTTTATTGTGCTCAACATTATTTTACTCCTATTTCCAATCTCTACCTCTACTAATCTTTTACTCATCCCTAAGTTTTAAAATCTTTTATTCATCCCTTGTCTAAAAAAGAATGATGCTCATTCTTTTTCAGACAAGGTTCAAAAACACATTGTAAATGTAGTTGGACCTGCTTTATCTGCTAAAATTGAGCTGAGCCTCTCTCTCTTTGTTGTAAGATTGTGTCTTTTCTACGAATACTTCTCTTATATGTATTATAATATATGATATAATATAATAGATATCAGGAGCTTTCTATACCTTTTTTGACAGCGTTGAACATATTTGGGCAACATTAAAACTCTTAATATCAGGCTTGGACAGGAATGGCATGCGATCGAGCGCTATTGCTGACCACGCAAATGATTTTATTTTTTGACAACTTGACCACATTTGTTTAATAATGCTTATATGTTTTGATGAGTTAAAAATGTTCTGAATATAGAAACGCTAAGCTAAACTTAAACTAGGAAAAAAATTAAAAAAAACTAACGAAAAAAAAAATTCCTAACGAAAAAAGAAGCGAAAAACAAAATCATAACGAAAAAGAAATTATATAAGCACTGAAATGAAAACAAAAACTTAAACTCGAAGCAAAACTTTTTGTTACGTTTTTAAATACGTATGAAATAAACGTTATTAAAGCGTTTAAGTGCTTTTTAAGCGTTATTAAAGTTAAGCAAAACGTTTTTAAATTAAGTAACAAATTACTATTAATGATTGGTTTATTAAAAGAACAAATTTTATTAAATTTATTAAAAAGTGTTTTTTATAATATTTTTAAATTGTATAAACATTAATTTTGTCAAAAAAGTTGCAAAAAAAAAAATTGTTTAAAAAAATAACGTAGAATAAAATAGTAACTTTTACTAATTTCATGCTCTTATTAGTGAGTCTAATTAAAAAAAAGGTTTTGAACTTTTTTATTTGGAAAAATAGAAAAAAATAAATAATAAAATGCGCCTGCGATTTAAATAATATAAACTGCCAACAAGCTTTTTAATTTAATTTTAATTTGAGCATTACAACTTAATGAGCGCTTCGCGTAACGAATTTAAAAATTATTATAAAAGATTTAATCTCATTCATTTCTAACAAAATTGAAAAAAAAAAATTGTTTACAAAAAATAAAATGTTTATTTAAAACATTTTAAAAAATCGTAAGTTTAGCCATAAAAATTAATCGAATGAACAATAAAAAATGCTTTAAAACTTTTTCATTAAAGCCTTTGCGTAAAATAAAAAACTTTAGAAAAGATCAATGATTAAAAAATATTTATAGCGTAACACTTTTTTTATTGCATTTAAATTGTTAAAACATCAAAATAGCCGTGCTCAAGTTGTAAAGAAATAAAAATATTAGCGTGGTCAGTTACAGAGTGTGATCGCACGCCATTCCTGTCCAAGCTTGTAATATTGTAGGAATAGTTAATTTTGTTACCAGAATTTTTTTTTTTTTTTTTTTTCACAAAATGATTGATATAGGCTTGTCTTATTGAAATGTGTTAATAACACTTGAGTTTTTTTTTAACTTTAATGTAAATACTTTTAGTGTTTACAAGGAGTGTTTTTTTTAGTAAAATAAAAAGTGGGATGAAAGCCTTATAGGTTTAGCAACAGATAATTCTAATGAAAAAGTAAAATTTGCTTATAGAACAATATATAATAATAGTCAAATTTAAAATCAATCAGGTTAAACCTAAGCATTACATGGTTAAATATAAAAAATACATTTTGTATATAGCTATATACAAATATATATAGATATAAAAATAAGCTAGCCTAGACTAGTTATCAACAGTTATAGAAACTAAATTTTTAAGCAAAGTTAGTCGAAAGTAAAGTTTTTTAAAATAATGTTTTATTTCAAGTTGTTTAAATAAATATTCACATACTTTTAAGATTATTTTGTTTAGATTAATATTATTTTTAATTTTTTGTTGCATTTCTTTCATTTAAATCGTATTAAAACAATAGACAACAGACTGAATATTTTAACTATTTTAATAAAAAAATAATTTTTACAAAAATTTAAATATTAGTTTAATTAAAACAAAAAAAGCAAACAATAGTATTAAAAGAATAGTTTTTCTTCTGTAGTTCTGTTATTTTTGTTTTCTGTTTGATATTTCAATAAAAAAAGTTAGCTTTATAAATTTTCAAACTTAATTTTTTTTTTTATTTGAATTTGGATCAAATTATTATATTTCAACCAATGGCCTGTGGGTAACCATCTCTGATTTTCCTGATTTTTACATATTGTTATGTGCATTATGTAGATAGGTTAAAATTGAAATTTAAGACTTCCAAGTACAAAAGTTAAAAAATTATAGTTTTAGAAACATGAATCAGTGGCCCCCCATTGATTTACAAATAGTCAAAATAGGCTACTTTAGAGTAGAGGTGTACCGGATATTTTTGTCAAATATGCCGGATATTGAACTTTTCTAAAGTTCTATAAGTGTTTATGAAAAAACAAGTCTTGCCATTCTACATTAAATAGTGTTCAAGATTTAAAAAAATAAAATCAAGAAAAAATTTGTATAACACAGGTATATGCGTTAATAATGTATAAGGAAAAATCGTTTTTACAGCCAAATTTTTGTTTTATTTTAATTACTATTTTCTATACTTGGTTAGCACATATCCCATGTCATACAGTTTTTCTCTTGATTTTTTAAAGTAAGATCTTGAATACTATTAAATGTAGACAGGCAGGACTTATTTTTTCTTCACAAACACTTAAAGAACTTTAGAAAAGTTCAATATCTTGCATATCCGGCATTAAAAAATCATTAGTAACAATTTGTTACTTAATTTAAATTTAAAATAAAAACTTATTTTAAAAGCATTTTGTGTAACTTTAATAAAACCTTTAAAAATATTTATTTCAAACGTAATTAAAAACGTAACAAGTTTTTTAAATGTAAATGTCCACTCGCCTAAAAAGTCTAATTTTCAGCCATTTTGAGACGCTTGTAAATTTTTCTAACACTTTGTTTTGATCTAAGATTAATAGCATATAAGACCACTAGACCCAACTCTTTGATCTGGTCTTTATAGTAGATAGGGGCACAAATAAAGGGGGCAGTAACTTTTTAGAGACCTTTATTATGGTTCAAATGAAGATCTTTAAATTAATTTAGATATTTAGATACTTAATATCTAAATATCTAAATTAATTTCAAAATGAAACCATTATTTCTTTAAATTCTATTTTATTATAAGTAATCAGTAGTCTTTATATGGTCTGGATCCCCCTAGCTCACTAAGGTGAGGGGAGGGGGTAAGGAGATTTAGTGTGGCACCAATTAAAGGAGGGGGGGTCAACTAACTTTATTTATTTTGATATCAATAAACTGTTTGAAATCAATCAACTGTTTTAAAATTAATCAACTGTTTAAAATGAATAAATTTTGTTAACATGTTTAAAAAATTATTTTGTATTAAGGTTAAACAAATTCATTATAAATCATACAAATATATAATTTAATATATATTTGTAATTAAATAAATAATAATTATTACTTTGAGAAGTAAAACTTGATTTTTTTTTTTTTTTTTTAATTAAATCTAAACTTATATAAAAATATTTCACCGGATGATGACATCTAAACTTATTAATTACTTAAAATGCGTAAAAATAGTTTATTATATTATAATTTAAAAGTATTAGTTTACAACATTACAGAGTCAGGGAATCAGTGACCTGGGAAGTTATATATTAGATGCTTTTTAAATAAACATTACATAAACAATATCAAAAGACAACTTAAATCTTCCAAAAAAAATAGTATTGGCATAACATGTACAAAATTAATAGTTTTTCTACATAAAAAAATGTACAACATAATGCTTTTTAACAAGATGGATATAGGAAAAGTAAATTGGATATAGGTAAAGTAAAGAAATGTAAAACTCAAATAAATTTCAAATAAAATTATACAAATTACCAATTGTAACATGAGGTACACAACTTGAAAGTGATGCTGATAAACAATCCTGATAAAATGCTATAATTTTCTTTAGTTTAGTTGAACCTTCTTCTACAGATATACTTGATTTTGCAAAAACTAATCTTCCTATGACATCAATATCTTTGAGATTTTCATTGTTTGCATGCAAAAACTTAACAATATTTTTTAACCTTGTTTCTCCAGGTGGTAAAAGTGACTCTCCAATAACATTGGCCTGAAAGACGAAAACAGCTGATTGTTTGACAATATATCAATAAAAAAGATAAATACGGCAGATTATATGACAATATATCAATAAAAAAAGAAACAAATTTTTAAGTAAAATGAAATTCTAATTTTTTTCACCAACATAATTAATAAACAGGGATACTAGGTCCCAAAAGGACTCTGGCTTTATATATCTTTTGTGGGTTTTTGTAAGAACTCATAAATACCTAGATATTGTATTTATTTATAAAGGATATAACAATAATAATAATGTATTTTTTTCCTAGTCTCAGAGTCCTTGCCACAATTATACTTAAAGACTTGGGTTCAAAAATTGATTGCTCCTCTAACTTGAATAAAAATTTGTAAATTTTTTCCCTAATAGTGGTCCATAAGCTTTTTTATATTTTTAAAGCTTCTGGATACAAAAACCTAGGAAGAAGTAATCTTTTTGATACTTTCAAATCATGAGTCCTTTTTGAAACTCTGCATCCCTTTTGATAAAACTTTAAAAAGCATAAACATTTTTTTAAAGAAAAATTATTTAAAAAAACAACTTTTTAAGTTTTAAAAAAAGAATGGGAAATGAAAAATAAGGAATAAAATTGAATTTGTTTTGATTTTCTTTTTATCATTAACTAAACCTCTGAAAATAGCAGGAAATGTCAACTTTTTAAAACATATTCACTTCCAACACAACTGCAAGCAACCACTATTATAGAAACTACGAGGAAGTAAAAAAATACAATTTAAATATTTGCATGTAAAGAACATCCTTATTAATATTTGTTATATTTAGTGTTATTTGTTATATCATTAATGTTATTGTTATTTCATATCAAAACTAGCATTTACAGGGAAAACAAAGAATAATTTCTACAATTTCTAGAATAATAACTTAGTTAAGTAATAATGATGCATTTTTTGGGTAATTAAAATTGGAATTTAGTTTTACTTCTAATCTGTTTTTGAAAATATAATAATTATTTCCAAAACTTTTATAAATCATTTATCAAAATTTAATAAATCAATCACTTATCACAATTTAATAAATCAAAATCCAGTTAGTCTACCTTTAAAATCTAGGGAAATTCTAGCTTTTTGTTGTTGCAGTTGTTGCTATTGTTTTGGTTTGTTTTGTTTTTTGATAAATTTATTATTCTATTACAGTAAAATTACACTGACATACAAAAAAAAAAAAAAAGTTTTACTTGTTAAATTTAACATGCTAATTTCAAATATGTGATCTATTTGCTTGTATCACATCAAAATTTTAAGAAAACTTGAATTAAAATGGTAACCACTTATAATAATAATATTTCATTTATAATAATAATATTTCATTTATAATAATATTATTTCACTGATATTTTATTTTATTATCAGTGAAAATATTTACAAAAATTCTACCAAGACTTTTATTATTTAAAATATATCATTTTATTAAAAAAAAAAAAGAAAGAAAAAGTTTTGTCATTGGTCACAATTTAATTTAAAACAAATATCAAGTTCATTGAGTAGGTTTAAATTTTTTTGCATATTGACCGATGGTATTTTACTTCTGGGGCATCCTGTTAGAGCAACCAGCAATAGTCTGCTAGCATGGCCCTACTCGATTGTCCTTGGTATCGTGATTCCATCATAGCAATGTCCTGATGGAAATGCTCTCTATGCTCATCACTGACCTCACCAAGGTATTCTGGAAAAAAGTTGAGATAAGAATCAAGAAGATGAATTTTAAGAGATATCTTACATATGTTACATTACCTATGTTCTGGAAGGCATCTATGCACTGTTTAATCACTTCTGTATAATTGCTAGATTTATTTTTTTCCACCAAGTTGGCAAAACGGATTTAAAAGCTAGCCATGCCTCAAGATCTTTTCTACTTAGTAGATCTTGAAATGTTGATCACCTATTACTTTTCTGATCTGAGAGCCCACAAAAATTTCTTTTTTTATTTTAGCATCACTTAAACATGGAGCGAAGATATGTGAAGGCATCACTTATCTTATCCAAAGCTTTTATGAAATTTTTCAACAGACCAAACTAGATGTGTTAAGGTAATATTTTTTTAAACCAGTGGTTCATGCAAAACATTTTTTTGACCGGGTTCTATACAATCCCTTGCATTTCTTTATAAAATCTTTTCGAAGTCGAAGGCCAAATCTTTTTTTTATAGTGTGCATCTTTATCTTGGCTACTCTATTCACAGAGGAAGCAGCAGAACTTTGTGTATCCAAGTTGTAGACCCATGAGGATTGCAAAAACTTTTAAATCTCCACACACTCTCCATTTGTAATCATTATATTTTATTTTTATTAAAACATTACTGATGTTATTTTACATTTCTTTCAACTGTATGGAGTATGCAACTGGAATGGATGGCAACACATTGCCGTAATGTAGCAGCACAAATTTTAGGCTAGTTTTTGATGAATCAAAGAAGAGATGCCAGTTTTTGACTTCATGCTCATGACTAGGACATACCATGAGATTATCAATATCGTTACAGTAGCAGATATTATCATCTGATACAAAGTACTTTACTAAATAAATTATATTGTTTTCAGGAATGCAGTCATCAGAATCGTTTATATTTTCTGGACTATCTAGATTGTTATTGTCACTCTTAAATCATTTGAGTGAAAAGAGTATAAATCAGGGTGAATTGGAACTGGACAGTTTACGGGGTTGTGAAGCACTGGTTTGGATTCAGATTAAATGTTGGGATATAATACTGATTTACAAGTTTTAAATGAAAATCCTTTTATTGCAAGTCATGCAAAAGTAACAATCAGTGGCATGATTTGTTGGTTCACGCCATACCATAGTAACTCCAAAGAGCATTGACTTGTGTTTTGGTTACTTCCGCAACCATCCTGATAAAATATTTGCACAAACGAAGCAAATGATAATAGGATTCCACTATTTCTCTGCATCATCAACTTTGGAGTCGAAATAAAGTTCATTAGACTTTTTAAATAAAGGGGTCATCATTTTCGAGTGGTCAACATTGGTAAAAGTCCACAGAAGAATTCAAGCATTTTCGAGTACCCATGTCAATAATATTTATTATGAAAACAAAGATAAATAAAATTATAGCATAGAAATATACTACAGATAAAGGCTTATTTTGTAAAGATTTTTTGGAACAAAAATGTGTGTAAATGTGATAGAGCACACCAGTTTTCAGATTTGAAATCAGCGTAAAAAACTTTATAAATACACTTATTGTTGTATGGGAAAAAAAAATTGTGCATGTCATGAAGTTACATTTATAAGTGTAACTTCATGTCAAATGATCCAACAATTTCTAAAAATGTCACCCTATCTCAGATTTTGCTGGGTTTTTTTTACGCAGTTGAGAGTACTTGCTAAAATAAGAACTCCTTAAGAATTTTAGCCTCTGGCTACAAGAAGATCCTGAAATATGACTGTTTTACTTTTAACAGATGTTGGCCATGCCCATCTTGTCTCTTCAGAATTGCAACGTTTATTTAGAGGTTTCAAGTTATATAACTTTAAAAATATTTAATCTTTTTTACTTAAAAATTTTTTCCTGGTTATTTTTAGGGGTGGCAAATCCAATGAAATGATTAGAAAAAATAAAATATTATTAAGAACTTTTTTTATTAATTTAGATGAATTTAGGCAATTTTTTATACACCTGATTTTGATGCTCTAGAAACCCATGTGGCCTTGATGAGATCAAAAAAAAAATTATTACACATCATTCTATATTCACCGAATATTTAAATTTAATAACAATTTAATGTATAAAAAAAATTCAGAGTAAAGTTAACTTTTGTTTTTTGGCAATTAATAGTAAACTGCTTTTTATTTATAGCTTACTATTTTAGTTTACGTGAGGAAAACGAAAAAATAAAATGTAAACTTTTTCAGAAAATTACTTTTCCTTTATTCTTTTTGACTTATGAAATAATAAAAATAACAATTACAATAACTTAATAAAAGTTTTATTAAGTTCTGTTTAAAATAAACCATAGTAAATGTAAATTATTTATTAAACATAACTTTTTTAATTATACTTATTGATTAAAAAAATATTATATATTTTTTAAAATAGGGTCAGGGTAATAATAAGGCTTAATAACATCTGTTCAACAACATTTGAAATTTCATTGATGTCTAATAACATCTGAGCAAAAACTAAATTAATATTAAAAATATAGTTATATCTTTAAAATTAGCAAAGTGTAATAACATCTGTGCAACTACATCTGTAGATTTTAAGATAAAGTTATTTTTAAGATGAATTAACTAATTTATTACAACCATTTTATTATAAGTATTATTATAACCAGATGTAGTTACATATAGAAATTTTTCCATCTGGAGAAAATTGATGATTTTATTGGACTTTGAGAAAAATTACCGAATGTAGCTACATTGTTCTAAAGATATTATAAAGAGTCATTGAATTTTCAGATGATATTGGACAGATGTAATTAGAGTAAAAAAAAAAATACAGATGATCTTGGACAAAAGTGTACTAATGATCTTTGACTACTCCACAGATTTCGTTGGACAGAAGAATTAATCTTTTACCTTTAAAATATAATGTCTTTAAAATATAATATTTTTTTTAATCAAAAAAATATAATATTTTTTGACTTATGTTTACAGTTATGTTTTTGTTTTTGCCTTATGTTTGTCTTTACTTTATTTATCTTTAAATTTAAAAGCAGTGATGTATCCAGAAATTTTTTGGGCATACCAGTCTAAAAATCCTGTCTGCCTTAAGAGGACCTTTTTTTAACACAAATTTAAATATATTATTTATATATAATATAACTTGCCCTAGTATTTTATCTTTTTCCTGATAAAAATATAAATAATTAATGGCTTTAACCCCAACATTAATTCCCCGCTAGTTTTAATTTATGTATTTATATTTATATTATATATCATTTGCAGTATAATACCATTTCATATAAAACTTTTTAGACTCTTGTTTTTAATAAAGAAATTAATACACAATTTATTAGAACTAATTATTAGAACTAAACTTTGTTATGGTTTTGTAAATTGATATATGTAGTTTTATTGATTGATTTTATCTAAGCTGTAAACCAATATGCACAGATCTATATGTTAACTTTATAAACTTTATAGCTAAAAATTTATTCTTTAGGACCAAACACTTTTAGCACTAAAATACATTTCTATCCCCACCCACCCCCCACCCACCTCCTGCTGATCAAGATATAAAAACATAGACCTGAAAATCAATCTGAAAGACTTGGAAGTTCTTTAATTTAATGTTGAAGTGTTAAAAAAAATACACTAAAATTGCTTATAATTGACATATCTTTTTTAAATTTAGAAATTCTTAAGAATTTTTTTTTTTTAGTTATACTGCCTGATTTTTATTACAATAATTAAAATTTCATTTTCATGAGTAATTTGTATTGTATTATAGTTATATATTAGTATTATAGTAAAAAGTAATGAAAACTTCATCTTCATCAAAATTCCTGCTTAAATAATTTGAAAAAACTATTAAAAAATTTTAAAAAATAGTATATATGGTAGCCAATTGTGTCAACATTCAGTATGTATAAATTATACAGTGAATGCTAACATATTGTACTTTTTTATTTTTTATACATAGATTGACTTGCTTAAATAGGAAGAACATGTAGGAAGGTATACATACATCAACTCAGGATTTGGGTAAATATGTGCTATCTTAGCGCCAATCCTAACCTTAACCCTTTCACTGTGTACACTCCCTGTATTTTTTTTTCCTATTTAACACAATCAATGTATCTACATTCTCTGCATGTTGCTCAACAATAAACAATAAAAAAAAGTTTGACAAAACAATTGAACAAGAGGCATAATTTAAATACATTTTTGAAATATTCAATTGATCCAAGTCCAATAATATGGCCAAAAGTGGAGATAGAAGTAAAGAGAATGTGGCAACAACTTGGCATGGACATTACTCATTATGAGGGGCAGCACTATCTTACTTTAATCAACTGTGGACCTACGAGGTATGCAATATGGCGATATCTTAAAGATCAAACCAGTGCATGTGTTATTCAGGAATTAAACAAGATATTTCTCAAACAACTTATTTAAAAAAAAAATAAGTTGTTTGAACTTATTTTAAGATAAAACTTTACATTAATAAAAAGGAAATACAAAACAAATTGCTCTATAAAAATTTTATATCTAATTTTTAATCAGAATAAAAACCTGGCTAAAAAATTATTAACAGTAGTTTTATCATGTTACAGCATAATTATAAACTAAAGTTGTGTTATAAATATATTTAAGTATGGCAATTATTTGCATTAGTGGTGTTTTTTTTTTTTCATCATCAAGTTATAAAACTTTCCTTTGAGTTTCAGGTCAATGTTTTTATATGAATCTTGATCGACATAAAGTTTTATATCATAATTACTAATAAAATTAAGGGGTAGTAATCTAGCACTAAAGATTCAGACCAAGTTTAACTAATTCTGTACCTAAATAAAAATATAAAATTTTCATATAAGCAGTGTTTGAACATTTCACACTCAAGCACTGCTCATGTTTAAACAGTGTTTGAATTTAAAATGTTTAAAACCTTGTCACATGTTAAACATTCTCTGCTTTAATTAACTGTATGAACATTATAAATTATATTTTCTCATAACGCTTTACCTGGATTTTTTTTAATGGGTTATCTTCTTCAATTAAATCCCAATAAAATGATGCAAGACTACTTTCTGATATTAAAAAATTACCAAGCAGTGCTGCTAAATAAGCTAAATGTTCATCTTTTAAATTAAAATATTCTAAAATTTTATTTGTATCATAAAATTTGCATCCATTTAGTGATTTTTTCAACCATTTTGTATTTCCTAAAGAAAGATATTTTGGTGCTTTGTAAACAAAAAAATTTCCATCATTAGCTAATACACCAAGAGAGTTAGTATCTTTAGAATAGAGTATGCATTCTTTGTAAACATCGTGTACAGCAGAACAAACTACTACCTCACAAGATCTAAAAGCTAATCTAAGAGCAGTTTTAAAAGAACCGGGAGCAACAAATTTCTTTGTTATTGTTTTGAAGGAATAGTTTTGATTGTGTATTACGTGTGATAAAATTTCTTTTACAGTTTCCCTGATAAAACGATGCTTGGTAGACCATTGATGCAAGGAATTTTCATTTAATGTACCGTCAAAAAATACAACAAGTTCTATATCAGCTTGGCGAAATGCACGAACAAATTTATCAACGTTTTGAAACAACTCACTCCATTGTCCTCCACATACCCAGTCAACATGTTCTTGATAAAAATATCTCCAACAACTGTCAGCATGAACAACAAGTAAGTTAGAACAGTCACCAAATAAATTTTCGTCTAATAATTTATTAAATTGTTTTGTAAACAGATTAGAAGCATCAATAAAGTCTTGGAGTATTTGTATTCCCATAATTACATTGGTGAAAGTTAGAATATATTTTAAATTAATTTGATTTAAAATATATCGTTTAAAATTTGTTATACATTACGTTAAAAAATATCTTAAGACATTTTGATTATTACTATCACCGCTCACGCGGTTAACATTCCTTGTCCGGTTATAGAGAAAAAAATGGTGGCAACTATTACTCAAGTCAACAACAGCAACAAAATTTTCTGGTGCCGAGCAAACAATTTTTTTTTTTTGTATAGCATTTCTCATTTTGATTTCAAATATCAAACTCATTTTTCACCATCACATCAAGTTGTAAAGATATTTGGGTTCAAATTTTTAGTATTTGGGGTACAATTATTATCAAAAAAAAAATTATTTAAAAGTATGTCAACCTGAGTCTAAAAAGAAGCGTATTTTCATAAAGATTTTTGAACCCAAATATCTTTACAACTTGACGTGATGGTGAAAAATGAGTTGCATATTTGAAATCAAAATGAGAAATGTTATGCAAAAACCAAATTGTTTGCTCGGCACCAGAAAAAAAAGTTTTTTTTGTTGACCTGTTAAAATATGCTATTTTAATCAATCCAAAAGTACCATATAATAATATCAACTTGACATATTATGTTACGTTAGTTTTTTTTTTGTTTTTTTTATTTTTATTATTTTTTTATTATTCTTATAACATCATATTATTTTATTAAACATATACAACTTTTTAAAAATAGTTTTATGTTTCAGCGTATTATGCTCTTATGCTAAAAATAGATTTTCTCTGGGTCAGAATCATGGTTTGGTTTTTTCTCACGGAAAAGATAATAAGGCACCATATTTCTTTCCTAAAATTTTTGAATAAAATAAAAAAAAACAACTTTCAGAAGTTTTAAAGGTTATGGTTTTTACAGAAGCTAAATCTAAAAAGAATTAAGATGGTTTAGTTGACTGGTTACCTTTTTAACCGGGAATGGTTTGTAAAATCGGATAAGAGAATTGGGCTGTTTTAAGTGTGCATCTGCTTATAATACATGGTTTAGTTTTACGTCATCTATTTTCATCTTTTTCTTTGACACATATATAACATATAAGATATTGAGTTAAATATACACTCAACGTAGATCTTTAATGTTGTTTTAAAATTAAATACGTCAATAATACTGTCAATCAAGTTTGAGGTAATCGAGTTTAAGATTATTTGAAAAAGAACTTATATTTTCAAATAAAATAAATAATAATTAAGTAGCTGTAGCGCAGTGTTGAGAGCAAAACTCAACACTGCGCTACAGCATTGTTGGAAAAAAAAAAAAACGACTGAACTTACATATCCATGTAATATTAACGTAGTTGATCACTTTTTTTGAGAAATAAACTGCTGCTGTCAACAAAATTGATTTACAGAAAAAACCATAAAACATACTTAATATGGATGAAACAGAATATAAACCGACTAAACGCAGAGTGAGAATTATTTTGCTCTATCTCTACATTTTTGAGTTTGGAGATAAAACGGTTTAAAAAATAAAAACTTCAGGAGACGGCATATAAAAAGATCCTAATTATTTTCTTTGAAGATCTTATTACTTTCTCCGCAACTATTTTTCGATTATAGCTTAGGTTTCAGTATAATAGAAAAATATTAATTTGAGGTACAACAAATAGTTCGAATTTTTCAAAAAGTGAAAAAACAAAATAATTCTAACCTCGTGATAAGTTAGTAGAAAATTCTATGCAATCGCAAAATGAAGTTTCCACGTAAAACGTTTAGTACTTAAACACAGTACAGTGTTTTTTATAGCCAAACATTTTTTATAAAGGTCTGACTTTTGATGTACTTGTTTCAATGGCGGTACGGGCAATACACGTTACAGTTATACTCTTTCTAACTGGATGGAATCCGCCAAGTTTAAAAAAATGGTTTGAAAAAGTATTTATGTTTGAAACAGATAAATCAAAAGAATCAAAGGTAATACTCTAGCTTATATTCTATGAAATAATGTTCTAATGTATGATGAGACATGGACACAACTCTCTACTTAAAGACTTGGCTGTTGCAAACAAAGTTAAGTTGCTTAATTTTTTTGCTGCTTTAAAACTTGTGGAATTTTTCTATTAGGTCAAAGTCAACTTAACGATAAGAAATCTATGACTTCGGGTGTAATCATCAACGCGAGTATAAATGGAAATTAAAACGAGGTTACAGCGGTAATCAATAAAATTAAAATAAGCTCACTACCGGTAAATTCTACAAGTTCAGGTGAAAGACAGGAAATTCTGACCTCAAGAAAACAACTAAAATTAATATTTTTGTTACATCTTAAAAAAAATGACACTCTAAAAAAAAGTTAGTAATATCCTTAAAGTACTTTTAAAAAATAAATAAAAAAAGGAGGCATAAAAATTTATACCTTTTTCTTTTAGGCTGTACACAATCTGAGAATTAACAAAAAAAAAAAAAGAAAAAGACCAAAAAAAAAAAAATGAATATCTTTTATCTCGTGAATCTCGCGCACGATTATATGAAATAAAATCAAGTTAGAAAAAGTTTAAATAAACAAATAAATCAACCAATAAATAAAAGTAACTGAACCGATCCAAGAAACAACACTTTCCAGCAAACAAAAAGACGCTTTTTCAAAATGAAAAAAAAAACGTCTTAAAAAACTCTACTTTTGTTAAAAAAAAAAATTTTTTAATTTTGTTAAAAAAAAACAATATGGTAATATCTGTTTTAAATATACAATCATTTTTTAAAAACTGTGATTTGAAAAGCTTTGAATTGCGTCTGTTTGAAAGGTACAGTGATCTTTTTGGGTTTTCTACCAAATTTGTGACATATTTTTCTTTATTTTTCGATTTTCTTTTTTAAAATTTTTTACTTTGCATTGTTTATATATTTATATATATATATATATATATATATATATATATATATATATATATATATATATATATATATATATATATATATATATATATATATATATATATATATATATATATATATATATATATATATATATATATATATATATGCATTATATATTAAACTACTCTAAATAGTACTAAAAACTTTCTAAATCTAATTTCTTATATCTAATTCTAATGAATTAGATTGTAAAAACAGTTCCTATAAACTAGAAAAACGAAAAAAAAAATTGTTTTTAACAATAAAGTATATAAAAAAGAGTAAAAAGAGAGCAATAAATAAGTCAGTTTTTTCAAAAGAGTTAACTTTTTCAAAATTTTTTTTAACTTAGGAAAAGAAAGGGAAAAAAAGGGAGTCTACGGAAGCCTGTAAATGCTGATAGAGTATGCTCCGAATATTTTGTTAATAAAATACCAACTGTATAGCACCCAAACCAAATAATATTTGTGGGTTTTGATCAATCTAAAGAGAAATAAGCAAGAATAAGTTTTTAGACCACTAACGCTAGTTGTGTTATGGTGTAAAATTGCACGATCATGTCTCAGTTAACTTTTTCGATTAGTTAATAGCGAACTTTTTAAAAGTAATGCAATTATTACAAAAACGTTATTAAAAGGTGTTGAAGAATCAAAAACAAGCCTAAACTATCACGAGTAACTTAATGCAAAGAAGATAAAAACCACAATTACCGAGTTCGTAAATGAAAGCTGGAATGAGAGTGAGGCTAAGATCCTTAATAAGTTATAAAAAAAGCTTGTTTTGAAAACATTAAAATTTAGCGAGCTCATCTCTGATCTGAGGAACAATAAAAAAATGAGAAATATAAAAAAAGAACCAGCTTTTAAAAGAATCATAAAGTTTGCCCGGAAAAAAAAATTTATATTAACGAGAATTTTTACGAGGAAACAACCCTAATTCAAAATAATTTGCTAGTAAAAATGAAAGTGGGAAGACAGTCAAAAGTTCAAGTACATATTTTAAGATAAATAATTTTACGGGATATGAACATAAAGGAAAGTGCTGTTTATTTTAAGTACCGATTTTTTTATATTACTTGTTACAAATGCAAGAAATAAGTTCTCTAAAGAAAAAATAAATAATGATAAATAAACTCTTTAAAAAAGGAATACAAAGATGAAAATGACTTGGAAAATTCATTTTATATCTTTACATTAAATTATAAAAACATGCTCATGGAGCCCCAGATAACATGAACACGTTGGCCTGACGTCGGGTCAACGTGCTTTATATCAGCTAGGAAAATTACGTCGGCATAAAGTTGGAAATGCAATGTATTAAATGTGCTTTGTGGTTTTCTGCGCATAGCTTATTCAGTAATTGAGTAAACAAAGCCCATAAAACCACAGTGCACATTTAAAACATAGTTATGCCGTAGTAAATTTTCTATCCAAATATAACACGTCGCCCCGACGTCGGGCCAACGTGTTCTTGTTTTTTCGTGTTAATTTTTTAACTACTGAATAGTTATTGTTCCGTTGTTTAAATTAATTAGCTTAATATTATCCAATTATTTTTAGTTTAATTTTTTTTTATTATTATTTTTATTTTTTTGTTGCAAAAACTTACTTCTATACTAAATAAATAATTTACACAACTAAAATATTTAAACATAGTATTTATGGCTAGAGTAAATAGTTGGCAAAAAAAAATACAACTTATGGTCTGCATTTTTAGTCAAAACTGTAAAAGAAAAATTCTTATTACGTTTTTATTACGTTTACATATACTTTTTTGTATTTGTTTTTTTTTACGTTTTTTTTACTTTTTTTTTAAAAAAACTTTTATTTACGTTTAGGCATTATAAGTATAAAAAATAGAAGTGATTTTTTTTTTGCGTTGTTTTTATTACATTTTTTTTGCGTTGTTTTTATTACATTTTTTTTGCGTTGTTGTTATTACATTTTTTATTATGTTTAAGCTTTGTAAGTATCAGATAAGAAAGTGAACCACGGTCAATAATTTTGCTTGCATTTGTTAAAAATTTAACAAATGCAACTTTAAAATTTAACTTGATTTACAAAATAGTTATTTATAATTTTATAGATATTTTTCTTTTTTTAACGACGCTATGGTAATTTGCTTAAATATCGCGTACTTTTGAAAACAAACTGCTAATTAAGAAAGTTAGTGATAAAAGTTTTAATATATTGAAACAGTTTGTATCACGCGAAGAAGTGGTTTTACGAGAAACGAAACAGTTTGTTTCACGCGAAGAAGTGGTTTTACGAGAAACGAAA